TCCATATGATTCCACACCCGAAACAATTGAAAGAGGAAAGAGCTGGCATCGAATTCTGCTAGCGAACAAATTAATTCTAAAATAATGGAGGACATTCTTTCAACAAGTGTGGGCTTAGAATACTAAGTATTCTGGAGCGAGAGAATGGTTTTTAATTCTGTTGACTACAAAATAATTAAAGTTGCATTGAGTTTTGACTCGCTATCAATATAGAGCTGAAATAGATATATATTTTGATATTTTTCTCAAAAATTGAAACATTAGTGTGAACTGCACTCTCTGCTGAAGGGTCCTCAAGAAAAATGAAGGATGAAAAAAAAACCACATATTAATACTTGATGAGTTAATAAAAATAATCAACGCTTCATATATCAATATCTGCACGTTTTAAGTTGATATTTATTCTCAGTAAGACAATATTAATTCTCCAGATTTAGAATATTTATAAATACATGGTAGGAGACTCATTACACTGGAGACTTATTGATTCTGAATCAGAGACTTATGGACAGGACTTATCAATATTTGATAGAGACTCATCCTCATTTATTAGACCGATCAGCACTTCAAAAGTTTCTCAAGCACAATTTTACTTTTTATTTACAGGTTGACTTCATTTTTCTATGTGAAGCAATAAGGTAAGCAGTTCATAACAATGTTTCAACTTTTAAGGAACATTTAGATTTGATCTACGTTACAGCCATGTGTTAATCAATTCACCCAAAGTTAGTAGCTGCACCTTGAGACTTTGGAGGTAAAGAAAAAACTTTTAAAAAAGCAAGAAATTGAGATTTTCATCCATCTTGAGATTCAAAAAAATTCTAATTTGTGAGCTGGATTAATGTTTTCCCAACTTTTCTAGGGAGCAGGCAATTCATAAGTATACTAATGAAACGGACGGTCGTGGAATCATATCATAGTCTCCAGGGGAAAATAACTTAATGCCGAAAAATAGCTGGTCATCATGCTGACACAGAGATCAAATTTTCCCTCTTCTCCACAGAACAAGATGCACGCATACAGAGAGATGCAAACAATGAAGGTTGGTACAGTTTAAATCATCATCCGCGCTGAAAAATTTCATAGGCAGCTAGTGAAATCCGAATTTGACAGCTAACAAATACATGCATAGGTTGGCAGAACTTCACAATGCTGCCGCCTTAATCAATTTAACAGCGTTACATGATTAAATCCTACCTACATTTTGCCGTAACTCAGTGAAAAAGAACCACTACTGAGCTTGTGTAGAAAATATAGATACATATTATGCTTTCACTCGAGGCTTTTATACAATAGATTCATAATTAGGATAATAGAGTTATGGCGATAGTGATCATGTAAAATTTTGCTAGAGACTTGATGGTGTCACTACTTTTATTTAAAGTCAACTTCAGAAGCTCTTAAAGCTAGGGATGTCATGTTGGTGGCAAAATATAATTAAAGGAGCGTCAAACTCCATACTCGGTTAAATGGGTCTGTTGCAATATAGGGATACAGATAAAAAGTAGACTTTTAAAATGTAAGAGCACCAAAAATGGCAGTGTGAAATAAGTCACTCTTAAAAGCACAATGGGCCTTCCACCCCCCCTCCCCCCACAAAGCCTCGATAGGATCAAAACCAGAAAAAAAAAAACACTCTGCATATCCTTCGACAGTATATGGCCTCAACTTCAATAGATTATTAGGAGCTCAAGAGTTGATTTGGGACAAGGTTGATGGTCTCATCCTGTTTCTGACACAATTTTACACAAATTAGAAGATGAAGTGGCAAATCGCTCACTTTTGCAAATAATCCACTAAAAAATTAAATTAAAGATTGCCAAAAGCACAACAGTATTAAATAGAGCCAATTCCATTGAAATGTAAAACTTCGGCTAAACTTCACATTGAAACTACTTGAAGTCCTAGGACTGGATGCCTGTCAACAGGGAGAGGTCACATGAGGTTGTATGTACAGCTTTTGCATGTTAGCAACTTTTTTGAGGGAAAGATCTGGGTCCTATCAAATTCAAGGTATAAATTTGTCTTATTTCTTTCGTAATTTCCTAATTCTTTTTTCACATTTCTCCTGCGTTTTAATGATCTTCTTTAAATTGTCTCTTGCCCTGTAAATTTCGTTTCTTAGACTTCCACTAAATAACAAATTTTGATTAAATTTTATTTATTTTGTTTAAAATCTGCATCTTTTTCAAATTTCCTTAAAATTTATTCTGTAAGCGGGTACCCTAAATATTCCACAAAAAAAATCTGCAAAAGAGGCATCACAGTATTACAGTCTTCTCGTTTTTTTGTGGTCTTTTGGTTTTTATCATATATTTAAGAGGTTTAACTGGCTTACAAATCATTTGAGTATATGAAGGTATAAATTGTAAATTTGGTTCATCAGAAAATTCACTGGTCTGTTGAGAAAATAAAGAGATGATCAAGAGAGAAAAATAAATAAATAGTGCGTCTAAAGTTGACAGCATGCACTAGGCGTGTATAATGGATAATTTGTGCTATCAACTTCCACCTCATTTACTTTTGGAGTGGTTTGACTGACAAGTAACTGAAAACTTTAAGTGACTCGGGTCCTTGCACAATTTCACTTCATTACAACGTTCTTAGGTGGATATTCATACATATAAGGGGTTTAAACCCCTTGACCGTGGTCCAGCACCCCGAAGCTCTTCGGGTCTCAGGCGTTAAAAGTTATTTTTGGGGTTTATTAACAGAGAGGAAGATATAAGTGAAAGAGAAATGCAAATTTAATTTCAACCCCGAAACATCATAACTTCATCAATTTTGACTGAATGAGTTTGCTGGTGCCTTCTTCTGTCACTAATTAAACATCAAAGAAATGACATTTGAAACTTCTTGATGAAATAAAATTCACAGATCATTCACAATGAAGAAGAGCCGGATACTAACACTTTTCTCNGTTTAAATGGGAGTCGTTTAAATGGGAGTCAATATTTTCCGAGCATCCTTTTAAAGTTACATGTTAAATAAATTAATGGCCGTGACCAACATCTAGGAGAGACTATTCAAAGAGTTTTGAAGTTGCCAATTAAATTGCTAGCTGTCAACAATTCAAAAATCAATCCAAAAAATCTCAAAATGACATAAATGGGGCAACAACTGAAGATATGCACTCATCTTGTTTTTGCCGAAAAATTTACAAAAATTTAGTAGAAAACTTGCTTTTCAAAGATTTTTTGCTATGAAAAAATATTACACTTTTACTTCGAAAATCAGTATTTCTGTTGATGTCAAAGATGCTTTGCTGATAAAAGATTCAAAATTGTTGATCAGATCGTATTTAGTAGCTGAAAGACACTTGGATTAAAATTACTCATTTGAGCAATAGGGAGATTTTCTAAGTTACGACTGCCCTTGGTGTAATATGCAACAGTCAAAATGAACGACTTGAGAGTCAAAAACCTAAAACTTTGCTCATTGGTGCTGCTGTATAGAGGTGTGTTGTAGGTGCGTATGAGCATAAAAATATCAACCAAACCATAGTTACAGCTGCTTCAAGTATGCAGTTGGAAAACTATTGCTTCAATAAAACCTATGGAAGTTTTAATCTGCTGCATTTAGAGCTTGAAACGACTGGATTGAGATACTACTTCACTTTACTTGTACTGGCACTGATATGAAATAGACCGTTGGTTTCTTAGTCTCTGGAAAACTAGAAAGTTATTTTTATCTAAACTTGAATTCAAGTTTTCCAACCTAACTTGCCAAAAACAAAAACTCCAGAAAAAGTTTCCTCCTTGCACTGGATAGTTACATATAAAAAAATCAGGACAATATTTGACTTGCAGAAAAGACTATCCACTAAAATACTGATGAGCATAGAGGGTAAAATTTTTAGGGGTTAGTTATAGGGACTCCCAAAAAACTCACCAACTATTTTTTAAGTATCAATAGGATTTGTGGGGCTAGCCAATTCTCTCAACTAAACAAATCAAGAAATTCCATACTATTACAACCATAAAATTTCAAGCAGTCGAAGAGAAGGGATAAGACAGGAACCTATTAAGAGAGGCAAAGGAGATGATAGAAATTTTCTGACTCAAATATTATTAGGAAGTATATAGGTTCCTTATTAATAGGCAGGGACCGGCATTTTAAAAAAATGAAAAAAAAAAAGAAAAAAAAAAATGGCGAAAAAATTGGCTCACATTCAATTTTTACTAGTAACAGTAAAAAATCATCAAATTGAAGATACTTTCACACTATAAAGTTCACACACTTTCATGGTTGGTTGGCCACATTAGTTGCACACATATTATGTCAGAGTTAAAACATCGAAAATAGCATTTTGAGACAGGACTTGGAGCTAGCAGTGGGACAAATAATAATAAGTCATTGAACTTGTCAAAGAATTGCGTTTTGATGGTCAAATCTTATGGATGCCTAAACACTGTCCATCCGTTTTTTCTTGTATCTAATAATAATAATAACAAAAATACCTTCTATCCAAAAAAAAAAATGTAGAACAACTGCTTTTTCTGCTTTTCTTCGAAACGCGATACAAATGTTAATGCTGAACATAGAAATTTGGTACGCAGCCAAAATGAGCTGCAACTCTGCTAAGCTCTTTACATTTACTGATCAAAATGTTCCAATCAGAGACAAACACGACTAAACCATTCTGCTCTAACTCTACATGTGGTAAGATGACAGTCAATGAGAACCAAAATTTGAGAGGTGATCTAGGAATGATCCTCATCCTAATGTGTTCAGCAGTCCAGAATCACTCCATTTAATACTGCCTACGAACAGACTGACCGGTAGAAACTAAGTTGCAGTGGTTCACGGAGCTAGCTCTAAGTCTCTGATGTCGCAATACACAAGAATTAATTCCTTGAAGAGTGAGGTATGAGGTTGGTAGAAGATTAACACAAATATGTCCGATGAAAGATCGACTGTGCGGTGAAGGATTGGAAAAACATCAATTCCAGACAAGAGAGAGAAGAGAGAAGAGTAAAAAGAGTAGTGGCAATTCCTACCTTGCTTTTATAGGCTTTGGTCGGCAAGTTACTTCCCCGCTATTGCTGTTATGAGAAACAGGACTGAACCTTTGCTGAAGAAAAGCTTTGTCTCCGGCCGGGTCTCCGTCACTTTGTGACTCCGAATCAGAATCCGTCACTTTTTCTTCGCATTTGAGATCAATTTCAGGGTTTTCTACGCATATCACCTGCTGACACAAAGGGTGAAGTGTAAAATGTAGAGTTGATACAACGTACAAACAGTTGCTAACAAAATTTGAGCAAAAGTTAGCGTTAGCAGTAACAGTGAATCAGCAATTAATTTTGACGACTTACTAAAAATCAATCACTACGACTTTCACACTTTGAGGTAAGTCTATAGGGTCTTTTATCTTGTCTCATTTCCTACTGTTTCATTTCTTTTGTAGGATGCTGAAATGAGGTTAATTTGAGGAACTTGTCCCAGAAAAATGTCTATTGGAGACAGGCCTCTACAAGATGAATCCAGGGCCTCTAGAAAGTTCCAAGATTCAAATACCATAGATCTGAAAAATATTCATAGGACGAGTAAACAGTATCCACCCTGAAGAGACTTTAAACCCTCCATGTTCCCGACTTATTTAATTTGGAGAAAGCCAAACAGGATGAGCATAAAATCAAGATAACAAATTGAGAAAAGAAACTTAAAGGAAATTAGTGACAGAAATTATTTAATTATTCAGTCCTCCCCTCTTTTCAAATTGGCCTTCCCATTTTTAAAACCTATTGCGCGTAGAATTTTCAAAGAGATGGCTCTCTAGCGCTCAAAACTAAGAGACAGTGGCAATTTTACAGCTGAAAGAAGTAAAAAAACTACAATTTTCATGCTAATGCCAGCTGGACTTCCTATTTTCAAGGTTCATTTTTTACTCACACCAGTTGCAGGGTTCACAGAATTTCTGCATCCCTCATCAGAAATTTAAAGTGTATGAAGGAATTGAAGCAAAGCTAATCAAACTCATTACTAAAGTTTTGGACTCACTGACGTAATGGAAAGTAAGCTCTGAAACTATGTAAAGCATTTTAAAATTTGAATGGGTCATTTAAGCTCAGGAGGAATTGGCATGCAAATAGTTGACTCATAAAATTTTTGGTGCGGAAAAAACGACGTGCTCAGTAAAATAGCACAATAAATCGTCTCCGGACAGAAATAGCACTTCCTTGTATGGGGTCCTGAGAAACATGTTTGGACTGTCCCGTTCATAACCACCATCAATATGCAAATTTACGCATTATGGGCAGGATCAAGGTAGCAGTGAAGCTTAGCCCCTAACATAATCACTTACTGATCAACTACGTAACACACCGCCACCTTATTTGTGACGCGTAAATTCTCAAGTTACAAACGCAAAATTCAAACCCCGTTTTTGGCGACCCTAATTTTAGGCACTTTAGAGTGAACTTTTATCCCTGTTGTAATCATCACAAAAAGTTGGGAAAAAACTGTAAGTTTCAGTCACATAATACTTTAGGATGGCGCGATCAAAAAAAAAATAGCTTGACAGACCTATTTTAGTAACAGTTTCCTTCAATTTGAATAGTCAGAACAGAATCTGACGTGATACATATCTTTCGAGAAATTTGGCAGTGTCTGAGAGATTACACTTGTTTCAAAAAATAAAAAATCATTGATGCAAAGATGAACCTACCATTCGATCCTCTGCATCAGAGAGCTCTTCATCCTTCTTCTTATCATCTTCTTCTTTGGTTTCAGACTTAATCGTCTGGAAAATAAAACATTCTGAATTAGACAAATATTTTAATCTCCTCGTATAAGAAGTAAAGAAAAAACAACATCAACAGCTTAAAAACACTAATAATGAAGCTACAAACTCATAAGTCTGATTCAGCAGTCGACGGATAAATTTGGGCGACTTAATTTTACGAGAGAAATATTTTTTACTTTTTTTCTCTTGAGTTGATGAAAAGAAATAAAGAATGTAACAAAATTGATATGCAAGACTATGGCCCTTTTAAAAATCATATCCTGATTCATCCCCAATTGAAAATCATCTGAATATTCTCAAGTTAAATGATCATGATACATCCAATTTTATCCAGTTTCATCCTGATTTGGTCCTGCTAATTTTTGTCTTCATTTATACTAAATTATTTTATAAACATTCTTGACGGATCCTACTTTATCTTGATCTCACGCGCTTCCACGGATGTACAAAAAAATTTTCAACAGCTAGTAAAAATGTTATGGCAATGGACATTGTCTTTACCCATAATTTAATTTTGCTGGGTAAATATACCACAAGTGGTTGATGCATTTTAACATTTCAGAAGTCTTTAAAGCAAAAGCAAGAACGACCTCTTTCCATACAATGTTAACAAAATCATCAGAAAATTCAAAGACTTCGGGAATACTTGGACAGTATCTCTGATTCTAAGGATGATCAAGGACTTAAACATTTTAAAAATAAAAAATTCAAGTATATTCACACACTTTTTAAGGTATTACGTCCTAATTGCACGCAAAAAAATGGAAAAATTTCAAAAGTGAGACTAGGAAATTTCTACTACGTGTAAGAAATAGGTGAAAAATACTTACATCACTACTTGCTAAAGGCAGATCTGAGGTATCCATGTTGATGACATCACCTTCATCACCAGTGGAGCCTAATTTGTTCCTAATTGAGCCTGCAGAGGATTTCCGCCGGTCTTTGCTGCACCATTTCCATTCTGGATAAGCTTTGAAATGCGCTTCCTTCACCTGAAAAAATCGCAAAAAATATGATAATCCATGTAGGCACACAGGAACAGAAATATAGAATTCAGCTCATCTATCTTTTTGGAGTTTTATATTACTAAAATCTTCAATTATGACTGTCCATAAGCAAAACGAACAGTTCATGGCGGTAGAATTTACATTGGAGCCGGTCAAGTTGCATTGGGTCAAAAAATCAAATAGAGATTTTGAAGGAGAACCCTCTCTAGTATTGTATCCTGAAGGACATGTTACAGGAAGTGTAGTTTTTTCACATACTGATCAGAGAGCATGAAATTGCATAACAATCCTGTAATTTTGTATCTTGAGCGTGGTGTGTTAGAATTGGACGTATTTCTGCCATACGGAACTAGGTGCATTGTGACATGAGCCCTGTTATGCATATATTTTTATAAGTCTTAGGGCTCATGTCTTAATGCTCATAGTTCCGTTTGGGGGAAATACGTCCAATTACTAAAACCTTCTTCTTGAAACTACATTTTTGAGCTACCTACTCCAAATCTCGAATACTTTATTTAAGTTAGAGATTTTTGGACATTTATTGCGCCAAAATTATTGTAAAATCACTTTTCTGAGCACAAGCGCCAACACCTCAATTTTGAACTTTTTGGCATTGAGATCCCCGTTCTCTTGGACAGTCACTCAAAATTGTATTGATATTATAGTAAAAATGGGGGTTTTAAAATATGAGTACTAAAGAATGTCCCTTTTCGCAAAATCTCTAATTCTATCTTTACTTTGGAAGAAAGAAAGAAAAAAAAGAGAAATATTCCTAGAGGTAACTGAATCACCCTCAAGAGACCTTACAACACTGATAAATTACCATTATGACCTATCATAAATTACCATTATGACCTATCAGTCATTCATTTCAAGTGACTAATGATTTTGAGATTGTGCAGTAATCAATAAAATAGTACAAATCGTAAGCAACAGGGAGCACTATTGACCAGTTGTGTCAATGCTTACTGCATTTAAGTTCCCATTCTAATTCCCCGACTTTTTACTACTTTTGACTTTTGATTTTCTCTGGTCGCTGTGAATTTCTTGATTTTCTTAGCTTTCAGACATGAAAAGAGACTTACCTCTGAAGCAAGCTCATGATATTTCTGTTTCTCCTCCGTGCCTAACGAGTACCACCATTCACCCAGAATCTTTGAAACAGTACGGTTATCTTGGTTTGGATGCATTTGATGCACTTTGGGCCGATGCCGTTTGCTGAATATCATAAACGCGTTCATTGGCCTACGAATCCGGCTGTCTTTTGTCTGAAATACACACAAAAAAAAATTGCAAGACCACAAAACAAGAAACAGAAAATATAAACAAAATTTGAGCTATTTCACTAAAAAATGTGAAAGAAAAGAAAGAGACTACGTAAATAAAGTAACTGACTAGTCTGAAACTTATCGGATAGCTAAAAATTAAGATAACTAAGTCTTGAGACAAAGAAATTGCTTGTTATTTCCGATTTGAGTATGACACATCATAAGATGAACTAACCTGCGGGCTATTGGAAAAATTGCTTCAACTCGATTTTTCATTTTACAAAAATGAGATCCCTGAAGTTATATTTTCAAGTTACAAATGACCTCAAGAATCTTAATGCTATCAAAAAATGTCTGAGAAAAATAATCATAAGCTGTGTTGCAGGGTGTTTTCATTGCTTTGTTTTTTGTTGTTGTTGCTGTGTAGTTGTACAAGTGGATAAAAACATGTGAAAGACACAGCTGAGAGGTAGCGCTAGCACTACAGCTACACCTTGAAACTGCAGTTTTCACCTGTATTATCAGAAATATAACATGTTGACTCAGCAAAATAAATCTGACTTACTTTGAGGGGACTGTGAGGTTCTTTGCTATTTTGAAGAGCACTTAACGATTGAGTCCGTCTTTTGTTTGATCCAGTTTCACTTGTGTCGTTGGTATCGACCCCTGGCTTGAAGACATCATCATCGTCTTCAGCAGGCGCAACGTCATCCAAGTGTTGTGGAGAGGAGGGGGGAGCGGATAGAGGGGTGTCAGGTGGCGTTCGAATCAGAGGCAGCAATGAGTCCCAGGAATAAACCGTCATGGAGGCATCTGAGTTAACTGAGAATACAATAAAGAAAAGTTTAGGAATCTTTAGCGGATAACAAAATCTCAAGTGTACAAAAGAATAATGGAATAATAGTTTTGAAATCGTAAATTGAGCAAAAATAAAAAAAATATAGTGAACATGAATGTAACGTAAACACACATGTGTCAAGGTGACAAGAACTGAACAGTCTACAGTTAGAAATTTACTATATTTCTCACTTGTTAAAAGGTTTCATTCTTAGCTATTTTATCAGTTTCCATCATTTTTTCTCCTCTCAGTAATGATCCACATGATTCTTTGTTCAAGCATGTATGTGTTATCTTCAGAAAGAGAAATGGTGAGCAAAAAAAAATTCCATAGACGGTAACTAATGTCTTACAAAGAATGCCGTTGTGTTTATCCGGTGGGTCTGACGTCGATTTGAACTGTGGCGGCAGAGGGGGAAGCACAGGAACGAGCTGTGTTGGTTGCACAATGACGTGATGCACTGCGCTCGAACTGGATGCTGGTGTGCTCACCACTGGTGGACTTTGAGCGACGGACAGATCTGAGCAAGAACTCTGGATACCGGTTTTAGAAACCTTGACAAGGAAAAATCCATAGAATTAGTACTAAAACCAAATTTGAAGTTAAAATGTGAGTTGAAATTACTTTTTTCATTGACAGCTGTCATGCACATACATTCAAGCATTAAAGACAATGAGAGTCGTTGTGGTCAATTAATATTTTCATGTTAGACAAGTATGATTGCTATTAGAAATTCAAGAAATTGTACATGCATACTTTGTGACACACCTAAACCTATCGGTATGACTCCTTTTCTTTGTGGCAAGGGCAACAAAATGCAGGAGGTCTTGTGCTAAGATTTTACAAAAAGCCTCATTTGGGTGAATAATATAATTTATCGACAAACTAGGCAAATATTTCATCAACAGAGAAATTAGTTGAATTCAAAATATATTTTTTTTGTAAAAAATAAATATTTTGAATCCAACTTTGGAAAAAAGACAAAGTGATGATTCTTTACCAAATCTTACAACATTCTGTAATTCATTCAACGGGTAAAATGGTATCAACCCACGATTAATTGCATTTTTCAAATTTAAATTAACTGTGCCTCCATTCTGGTAACCGCAATTTTGATGCTTATTTATCAATGCGCTGAAGTACCGAAATAATCTTGTGTTACTCAGCTTATCCTAGCCACTAAAAAGTCTGGGTACTCAAATTACAACAGATTAAGCATATACTTTAGGTTTACTAAGTTTTCAGGGACAGAGAGCAAACACAAAATAACAAGCAGTTAAGTTTTACCTGATGAACCACTGACTGTTTCTTCATTTTTAGAGTGGGACAGCTTGGCTCTTTTCTAATGACTGTTTCTTGTGGTCGAGATTGAGGTTCTGGCCTCGTATCCATCCTACAGTTTTCAAAGTCACTCCGCGTGATCTGCAAGTGAAGGAATGACTTAGAAAAATCTTAAAAATTAAACATTGAGATGAAATAATTCATCGAAGTAAAGAAAAGGAAAATGCAGGGCGGTCTCTGCGCCCCTAGGTATATTTATGACTGCAAATAAAATTGCTTGTTACTGTGCAACAAGAAAAAAACGGACATCATCTTGTTTTACTTGTGTTACATTTCCGGACTTAAATTTTAAGATGATTGGTACTGAACTACATACAATATAATTTCCTTTATGATGTTGCTGAGCCATTAACATTAGCATTTAAAAAAAGGCCACATTTCAGGAAAAAGCGACGGAAGTTGAAAGTTCACATTTTTTAATGCAGGAAAAACTGTGACAGTGGTTAAAAGTTACAATATTTTATTTTGGATTTAATTGCCTTTTAAGATCCTCATGAACACCAGGTCGAAATATGAAGCCTTAATTTGTATTTGAAGGGAAAAAATTCAAGGCTGGCAGCTAGAATTCTTTTGGTGATCAGCTGTATTTTTTATTTTATTTTGATGTTTCGGAACAAAAGTGAAGGCCTTAAATCAATAACGGGCTAAGTGCCAAAAAGTCAAGTTTCAGTTATTCAAAATTTAGTTCCCACCAGTTGCCCAGCAGATACCATGTAGCGCTAACTATTGGGGCACTTTACACACTACTATCATGGTCGTGGCACTCAGCCTGCTTCACGGGTTGTTGTCCTTGGTACATAGAACGCTATTCAAGGTAGAACTCCATTTTAATTTTTTTGGCACTTAGCCCGCTAATGATTTAAGGTCTTCAAGTGTTTTTGGAGTAAATATAAAATTTATTCAAGTGTTTTTTCACACTGTATGAATGATGAACTCAGTAAAAATTAAATCAACTCACATCAGCACTGGTCAGAGCTTGCTGTAAGATGTAGGACGTCTGTGGGTGTGGCAGATGGGAGGGGGCTGAGCCCACTACTATCCTAGCCTGCTCTTCGGCCTCTTGAGGGATCGAGGGCGGTGATGGGCCTTGCATTTTCCACGTTATCGTCCCTGCCGTGCTAATGGGCGTGTGCGACTGACTTGTCGCGAGAAGATTTGGTGAAATACGGATCACACTCGTTGGGGTGGAACTAACGACATTTACAGGACTTTCCTTGGGTGAGATCTGCCCCTGGAAATGCGGCTGCGGCTGCAACTGGAGAAGCCGTTGCGGCTGGAGCGATGGTACCGGCTGAGCCTGCGACTGGAGATGCGACTGCTGTGTGCGCACGATTGTTGACATTTCCATCATGGGGCCTGGTCGCACTAATTCTGGCCTGCGAAAACATTGAAAGACATACATTAGACAACTCAATGATCCTTTACAATATCAAGTACATTATTGTCTGGAATATTCTTAGAGTTCATGCCATTTCAAAACCAAAATCCAGGACTTTTAAAAAAGTTTAAAGGGTTGACCATTGAAGAACTTTTCAGGGTTTTTCCTAAAATTTTTGTTTCTTTGCCCAACTACTCAAATCCTACTTTCAAAGATTAATTAAGAAGGTCAATTAAAAAGGCTCATAGGTTATGAATTTACCTTTTACTTAATTTGTTTAATTTTAGATGATGTTTTTTGTTTTGTTCCAGTGAGCGCATATTCTACAGCTTGTTGGTCATTTTGTTTCCATTTGCAATTCGTCCATCAGCTTACCGGTGCAATTCAAAAATGAAAGGAAAAATAAATTAAACTAGGACTCTCCAAAAAATGTTAAGGCTCCAACGGATGCCTAGAAATGGAAGTCTCCTCTTCTAATCTAGTATCACCATACTCTGCTATCTGCATATGAGTGAGGATACAAGTAAGTGACACGGACAAAGCTGATTGATGATTTAAGTCTTCACACCAAAAAGACAAAAATAAAAACAAAACAGAAAAAACCAATCATTTAGGTGGTAAATGATATGAGCAGATGATGTAAAATTCGAGGGCTTCCAAGTACGTACCTTCCTGTGACATACTGTAGTTTAATTACATTCAAGGAATGCTCAGTATACCATTTTTAAAGGGAAGAGAAACTTCTCCTGGATGTCTATGGGTACCATTAAAATTTTTGATGCACTTCTCACTTTATAGAGATCTTCACTTCTACAATTCATGGCAAAAAATTGTTCAGCTCTCTTGTTTCTTGAAGAAGTATTGAATTTTAGACATTAATTCACGTTTCAATGAAATATGCACAGATTTTGTCTCCATACCTAATGACTCGCGGATAGGAAGCTGTAAAGTTGTTTTGAGCACGCGATGCATCGCTAATAGGCAAAAACATGTTTTGCCTTGATCCGATTGGAGAGTGTATACTTCTTCTCGGGGATGGAGCTTGTCCCGTCGGTGAATACGCAGGGGTCGTAGATCGAGATCCACCCAAAGAAACTTAAGAAAACAAAAATACATTCAAAATTAGAAAACATAGATTTACTAATTAAGATTCATTAGATGGATTATGCTTCACACCTGGTTCCTAATTATGTTGAATGGGTTGTTATCTGTGCCTCTTTTTTGGCTGCACAAAGTCACCTTTGGCAAGCATTATTTGACATGATTAAGGAATTAGAAGTAAAAAAAAATGAAATTCATTCATTGGCCAGGCATTATTCTGTCTGACTTACAAAGTCATGGGGATATTACTCTAAGGTGAAATTCCAATGTTCATAAAAGAGAAGAAAAAAACCACAGGGGGCCAGACCATTAATTAAAACAAGTAGCACTGACGAAAAGAACATTAAACAGCTTGTTAAAAAATACATAGAACAATGCACAGTAAGATTACAATTTTTCAGTCTTGCCAAAAATTTAATAATCACGGATGAGCACCAATTTATAAAAAAAATGAATATGGAAAGGAGAAGAAAAAACAGAAATGTAGGTACCTAACATATTGGCTGCTTCTGTTTCATCCTGGTCGAAAGTTCGAGCAATCCTTCTATCCGAGCAGCTAGGAGACGTCTCTGAGTCTCGGGAAGTTTCACCACCATCGATTAAACTTCCTTCGTTACTTCTGTGGAAGAATAAGAACTCAATTATTACAACAGATTTCATGAGAAAAGGGTTCAAACCGTTTTTTGAGAATCAAGACTTAAAAAAAAAAAAAAAAAAAAAAAAACAAAAAAAAAAAAAAATTGCTGAAGCTTTCATCTCCTTTACCTCTTTTGGACTATTCTGATACATTAAAAAAAGTTTGACAATCTTAAAATATTTACTGATATTGTTAGCTTCTTTCTAGAAAGAAGTTGAAGCCTACTACACAGAAAATACAGTGACTATTAAAGAGAGATCTAAAAGTACAAGGAAATTATAAAATGTTTACACTAAATGAAACAAGGCATTTTTGGATGAAAGAAGGAATACTTAGAGATTTTGAAGGAAAAGAGTTCATAAATTAAAAATTTCACCAACTCTTCTCATCTAACTCTTATGGCTCATGCAACGTTTAGACCCATGTAGCAGAGCTAAAAATTAAAATTTAGAGTTTAATTCATGTTCCCAAGTTTACTGAAGATAACTTCGTACAAAATCACTGATACCTCAATTTTTTTTAAACAAAAGCAAAAAATAATGATACAAAAAAGTTATGACGTTATATACACACTTGAAATGAAGTAAGACAAATGCACTTAAGCTTACCTCGGATAAGTTGAGGGCCCTGCTTGAAGACCGTTCCCTTCCAGACTCAAATGTCGCGAACAGTAGCCTCTGCGTTGCGACTCTTTCGTACAACCATCCTTTGAGCATAGCCGCCTCCACTGCTTCCCATTGAATTTCTTCTTGATTCCACTAGGGGTGGAGACGACGTCACCTTTTTTGTACTTGTGAGGAGTTGCCGCTTGGGACCGCGGCGTGGCCGGCGTTAGTCGCGGAGTCGAGCTGCCATGGAGGCTTGACGTGCTGCCACGACTCTGCATGCTGCTTCGTTTGCTACTGCCGGAGAGTTTAGCACCATCTGCATCCGAGCTGAATTGGATGTCTTCTTTCCTGAGGTCGTCATCACTTTCGCAGAAGTCTTCATATGGCCGCCGTCTTAGATCATCGCTACTGCCGTTGGGTATGGAGGAGCTGACAGAGTGCAAGCTGACCGGTGTGGTTGTAATCGCATGCAAAGGCGGCGGAGACGTCCCTGCACTGCGATAATAGCCACCCATATCTACAGGGTGGAGCGTAGGCACATTGTGGTGAAGCGGTAAATTCCCATTTTGAACGCCGTTGTTGACCTGCAAAAAAGTCAATTAAAACAAATTGAAACCGATTCATGAAAGATGATTCTATGGTAAAGGGGGAAGGGAACATACTCAATTACTCTTAATAATAGTTCTGTTATTGATGCGGTGGTACTTTTAGGGAACAAATTTAAAAAATAATAAAGACCAGTTGCAGCATCACTAATGTGCTCTTCACTTCTCAGTTTTGTACGGGTACATTTTGGACACAAGTTTTGGAACATTTACTTTGAAACTTTGTTGTACTTCAATGACACTGCTTTCTTTAAACAATAAAGGGGACTCAGCACTCTTCTGTCACCCTTTGTGTAGAACATTTGGAATATCATGCCACTATCTTCACTTTTATATTTTCCGGCTTGTTAAAAGGCGGTTCCGGCGGTTCTATAAAAAAAACCTAATGAGTTTCCTGAAGATTAATTGCAATACATATAACTCTTTTCTCGTAAACAATTCACTGACAAAAAAATTACTTTAGAAGTCTGTCAGAAACATTTGAGGGAGTTTTGAGAACATAAATGAATAATGTAAAATTTGAGAAAACTCGACTTGTACTGAAGGAATGGGAGATGTAATGCTGACTCCAGATTTCAACAGCATTGATAAATGATACAAAATTTCAACGACAACTAAATTTACCTCATTTCATAGATAAGAACCATAATTTTTGGTAAGTTGGATTTGAAACTTTGAATTCCAATTTATGACACAAGTTTCTCATACACCTTAAGGATGAGTGGGATATTTTGCAAATTCTGATTTAAAAATTTTGGGCCCAAAACCTGGTGGATTAATGCTGAAAATCACTTTTACTTCATACTATATTATTGTAACTGGAAATGTCAAAAGAATTGTATCTGAGTTTTGTTTGACTTTTTTTAGTTTCATACAGTACAAAGTTTTCGCACAACCTTGCTGTGAACGATGGTAGAACTGGAGAAGAAACAAATGGACAAAAGTCACATCAATCTGAATGCATCAATCATCAGTCAGCCCATTGGTTAGCACGTATATTTATGTTGAATGGTTACATTTGTCCATTCTTTTCTTTCCCCAGTTCTACCAATCCTACAAGTTAAGTTTTAGGGGTTTAACAGTCCCTCTTCCTTAGACAGTCACAGAAACTTCAATTTCTACCTCACTCCTGGATTCCTTTCTTCATGATCAGCAATAGTGTGTGTTTAGACTCCGTAGGAATGAAGTTCCAGACTTTTTCGGGTTTTCCCCGACAAAAATTATCCTAACTCCCTGACTTTTCACACAACCATTTGGAACGGATAAAACTAGAAACGAAACATTTGCAGCTGTTACACCACTGCAACTGGCAGGAGCAAGAGAACGTCTCTTCTTCAGGCACTAGTGATTCAACTGATTGAAGCTGCCATTCCTTAATGGATATTATTCCTCTTTAGACGATTCTACAGAATAACTTAGAGCATTGAACCCCGAAACAGAGTGAGACCCAGCTTGATTATGTGGGCAGTGCTGATGTTGTTTCAGATTTCAAGTTTCAAGATTCTTCAAATTTCCAATCTCTTAAATTAAATTTCCTGACCTAATGGAATTCCCCAACAATTACTGGCTTTCAAGACCAGTAAACATCCTAGACAACTATTCCCATGATGACAAGAATCAAACAGAGAGTTAGCTAGTTACCTGAGCCGGAATTATAGTTGGTTTAAATTCAAGGTCATCAACCCCCAACTCATCCCACCAGGGTGGAAGCAGGAGCCGGAGATCAGAGCGCTTGACTGTGTGCTCATCGTTATCCGAGCCGATGAGTCGGACACGGAACTTAATAACAGATGACGTTGACTCGTGAAGGATGCTGCATACCACACCTTCAATGAACATCCTTCGATGGGCTACCTTGATGCACACTCTGGCTCCAACCGTTACCTGACCAAGACTTGGGCTTGCGTCGCTGATGACATCATATTTTCCAGAGCACAGAACATCTGTGAAAATCTAGAAAATTGTAGAGGAAAATTAGTGACAGAGGTAAAGCGAATGCTATAATAATGAGAGCAAATGCAGAGTTACGATGTTTGTCAGGCACTAGACACCAACCACTAAGACATTGCTTGATCTTTTAATGGGTAATCATTTTTTGTTCACAAAATGATTGGTCCTTACAGAGGGGTTAATTGTAGAATATCACTGTTAACAGAATTAAAGGAATCTCGGTGCTAAAAGTTTAACAATTAGATTATTGGTGCCATCGTTTCTGAAATAATGAAATAGATTGATGTTTTGGATGGGCGAGATTGTTTCATGCTCCACCAGCAAAACTTCCTGCATTTTCAAGAATTTGATACCCTGTTCATTACCAACATTGGAATTATATTAAAAAGAGCAAAAATTACCTCTGGCTTATCCGGAAAGTCATCAAACTCGACCATGACTTCACCTCGTGTGCCCGCTTGTTTGATGATGCCTGGAAGATAAACTTGATCTTTCTTGGCCAGAACTCGGTGGTCAATCCATTCCCGGAGGTCGATTTCGTTTTTACCATTAGTCACAACCCTGTCGACCATGGGTTGTTCCGTCATTGGTAGAAGCAAGCTCAGGCCCATGTTCCCCATGTTTGGAGGATAAGCACCTCCAGCGTTGTTTTCTGTGGCTAAAGGAATATTTTCGCGGCTTGGACATCGCTCTTGCTTCACATAAAAGTTCCGCGGCGAGACTTCCAGACTGGTGTTGGAACAGTCCATAGCAGTTGATTGAGGCGGCATGAGCACACTTGTCGCACAGTTATCTGATTCTTCTAACTCCGACGGATCAAACTTCCGCTTTTTTGGGAGCTTCTTGGCACTCATTATGGTTGAGTGGTCTCGCGGTGCCTGGTGCTGTTGGGCTAAGATCTGAGTGCCACTGAAGTTGACGGAGGTGGACTCGGCATAGCAGTCCTTTACATCCCTCATTATATTGATGATGGCACTTGAGAGGTGACTCAACTTGACGTAGATTCTTGTGTGGCACTTGATGTGTGAATTTTAGGGTTTCTCCACCCTAGGATGGTCAGGTACCCCAGTTTCCGCCACCAGGGTTCAGTTTTCATTCTTCTAGCTATTTAGACCATTTTCCTGTTGACATAAAAAAAGAGTTAGGAACAAGCCTGCAAAAGCATTTCTTCTTTTTGAAATTTTAGGAGGATCCGAGGAAAAATCGTCTGCATTTTTCTGAACTAGGTAATATTGAAAAATGAAATCACAGGTGGCAATAGTTGGAAAGAATAGGAAAAAAAAATTCTCGAAATTAGAAAGAAACTGATGGAAAATAAAAAATTACCTAAGGAGACTTTCACATTTCTTCATGCCTCTCGGAATGTGACATAAAAATAAAGTTTGAAGTTTTTAAAAAAAAATCATGACAAAGGGCATTCTGAGTGATAATTATCTCAGGGTGTTTTTTCAACAAATTGAGCACTTACTGAGAGTTCATTTGTGCCATTTATCAACTACTGATGGAAACATTCTCTTCGAAATCACCCGAGTATCTGTCAACTTCATTTGTTCAATCCTACATTTCTTACGTACCAGTTTTTCCAAGGGTAACTTTAAACTCTTTCCTTCTGAGGATAGTGCAGAACATGAAGTAACATTATGAGAGGGACAGAGGACTTCAATAAATCACTTAACCATCAACTACATGCGCCTTGGAAGTTTCTATCAGTAAGTTTGATCATCTGTTTTACAAACCTGTTGAATGTACTGTTCACTAAGGCCCTCCCCTCCAAGAAATGAACTTTTCAGTGCTATAATTTTCCTTAATTGATAGAATTCAATGAATAAGGGTAAAATTTCAGGGGCAGTATAAAATTTTATCTATCCATTACTTGGTACTGAATTGTCTCATTAGTTGAACTTCTCAAATTTTATCTATCCATTACTTGGTACTGAATTGTCTCATTAGTTGAACTTCTCAATCACCCATTAAAAATTGAACTACACATTGAAGGTTACCCTTGAAAAGATTTGCTGAAAAAGTCTTCTGATTTATTGATCATGCTGACTTTGCCACACAAGTTTCTTGATTCATCACTTTACAAACTCACAATGGCTATCAAAATGGTTGTTCCAATATACACATTTATACTTATACGTTCAAAGTTTAAAGTTAATGTGGGTCGAAGCCAGAATTCACTCCAAATAAATTAATTTACTGCCAGGGCACACTAAAAAATCTAACACTTTATTCTTCACTTCAGGTTTGAGACAGTAATATTCACGTGCAGATTTTGCTCGCTAAAATCAAAGAATCTATCATGCACTCCAACACTTCCGACACTTCATAGGGTACATGGTCAAGAAAGCCTTTTTTCTGATTGTGCATACATGTTAGTTGTCAGGAGGCTTGGAAATCTATTGATAATCTTTCACTTGAGGTTATCAGCAGACTCGGAAAATGACAACCGAGTTTTAAAGAAATACTTTGAGATATTGTGGTACGCAGGATACTTCGTTAGAGTGTGAAGAGTCTTGGCTGAGACAATTTTACACTTTTGATTCATGATAAAATAAATTCTCCTGAGTAGAACGGGTATTTAGTCAAAAGTGTGTTTCTTTTTAGGTCTCCTTGGGTGTGTTGAAGAATTATACCTAGGCGAGTAAAGCGCAATGACCAAAGGCAAGCCTTTTCATACAAAATTGTAGCTACCAAGGATTTCCTGGATCAAGAAACCTGAAAACTGTTGAATAGACCTGAAAAGAGCAGGCTGTTCCAAGCGTCATGAATAGTATTTCAAGAAAGCGCAGTGACATTAGACATTGAAAACCTAAAGATGCATAGGAATCTAGTGAAAATGGATAGGTTAGGTATCCGCCAAAATTACCAAGACCGACATGTAGATATAGAAGCATCTGACGGGAGCTAGGCCAATAGAGCAATGAGATACATGTGAGTCGGTAAAAATCAACTTACGGAGAATGAATTTATCCATGATTACATTTCTTTGGTGCTGACTTTAGCCTTCCGCATTGCAGTGATATCATATTTGGTGACTACAAGTTATTCACAGCTGGTTCAACTGATGGAAGACTAAGAAATTGGTGCTCCATAATCATCATGCAACTCAACAGATAGATAGTTGGGCAATTTTTAGAACATTGAAAAGAGATCTAGTTATTGCAAAGTAAGGAGACTCCAGGAATGATTTTCACTTATCAGTGCTGGTGAGCTACAGGTGAAAAACAAAAATGAGGAAGGGCTACTACAAGTGGAAAGAAATTCAGGTACTATGAAATGGGTGTACTGATAAAGGGGATTACGGGGAAAGGGCCGAAATGAAAGCTAAACATATTCTGACAAACTCACTCACACAGCTTTGGGAAAAACACTCGAATACTTGTACACCCGCGCACATATTAACAAGACTCCACTCCTTCCCCTTCACAACTAGCTGACCCCTCCTCCAGGGACCCTACACGTTCACGACTTCACGTTCCACAATCCACAAACGCTGAGTTGATCCCTACTCACCCAGGGCAATGAGGGGGAGTAGAAATAACTCTCAACAGGAGTAGCCATAGCGGCCGCGTTAAGAAACTCCGATGGACGGATATTTCGAGGATCAAATGCGACAAAGACAAAATTCTAATGGACACGGCACACTAACATCCGACAGGATCACAGATTAGCACACCTGAGTAATAACCTCAGCTGAGGTATCGACGTGAAATATTCGGCTAGAAACAAAAGAAATCGATAGTAAACCCGATTTCTCGGCCACGCGTCTTCACTTGCGGGCGAGCCTGAACGAAAAGGTGAACGATTGCGCACAGAAAAGAAGCGTAAAGGGGCTAAATAACTAGATACCTTAAAATATTGGCGACTTCACGTAGTATTGACATCTTTGATGAACTAACTTCTACTACCACAACACTCACACACTCTTCCTTCACAATCCAGAATGGGAACGTAACGACGTCTGTGATTGGGCAGTGGCAAGGTCACGTGCGCATTGTGCCCTGTCCCGCAACCCGATTGGCTCGCTTATTTCTATTCAATTTCTACAGTGGTCCCCTCTCCAAGCTCTTGTAGCAAGTGCACGAAAATTATCTCCTGGAAATGGAGCTACAGAGCCAAGCTCCACGCATGACGACTGGGCGACCGGGGTTACTATGTAGTGTTAGCTTCGTCGAGCTGACGCTGTTAGCGCTGCTGCATCACCAGGATGGGCCGCCAGATAATTGTTGCCGGGTGAATGATAATAGTCCGCATTCTTCGATTCTTTTACACCTTTTTTAGTGGTGGGGGCATGAGTCGACGAACTAGCTCATCATGAGCGCGCGGGGCAGGGATGCTCACAGGGTGGTACTGAGGGGAGAGGAGGGGGGTCCAGGTGGGGAGGGAATATCCCGAAAATTTTGCAGTAAGGAACTGCGATTCACTGGTCTATCCATTGAAGCACCTATCCACATGAAGAACGAAATGGCACATACGTCGTTTCTAAAATGAGCTAGAAATACTGGTTCCTAGTTGCAAAATGTAGTCCAATTTACGGCGATTTGAACCCGAGGGTGACGAGGATTGTTGGTCTCTTGAAAGAAGAGTTCAGCTCGGGGCGGTCTGATCACCCTGGTAAAAATTGGCGATAGGAGCTGCGTTTCAAAATACCATAGGAGTTCTTATAGCCGACTGAAGAAGGCGATAGAAAATCATATAGCTGGCTGTAGAAAGTGGAAAAAATCATACGGCCGGGCTACACGAAGCGATAAAAAATTATACAGCCGGGCTACAGTTCCTATCGCCGGGCTTTACACTCTTTCGCCATCGGCTATAAAAGGCTATAAGAAATTGTGTAGGAATTCGTGTGCTTTGTAAATCCTTAAGTCTGCACGAAATCACCTTAATATTTATAAAACGCACATTATATTTTCCTTTACTACATATTTTTTTTTCATCAATTAAAATGAGAATAATCCATGCAGAGGGTGCAAACATTTCAAAGTCATGAGTTGAACAACGCTGACTCCACGAGATTAAATATTAGAGCCTAACACAAAGCGGAGCGGCGCGGCGGCGCAATGGCGCCTGCCTACAAACCTAACAGGGATACTTCACGCACTGCGAAATACGTAGAGTATCCCTGTTAGGTTTGTAGGCGCCAATGCGCGTTTCGCGCTGGCTGCCCGCCCGCCACGCCGCGCCGCAGCGTACCACGGCGCTTGAAGCAACTATTTCACACCAAAGGTATTGCACAGTATCGTACGAAATTGAAGGCGCTCCAACATATTAGGAATGGCAGGCATCCTTCAAAAGAACGGAGCTTTCCCCGCAAAATAAATCAAGATACTCCGGCCCAAAGAGAGAGCAGTGGTCCAAAAACTCACTAAGTCCTAGCATCCGTAATTAGCAGCGTTTAGCATACACTCTATCGTCAGGCTGTTGCTTAATCGCCATCGCCTATAAAAGGCTATAAAAAATTGTGTTGCCGGCTATGGAAGCTATTGGAAATCTTACAGCCGGCTGTAGGTCTATGGTATTTTGGAACACAGATTCTACTGCCAATTTTTACCAGGGCAGGGGTGCCAGGGTGCTTTAGCACCCCCGAAATCCTGACGGGTGGCTCAGGGGGCCCGGGCAGGGCACCTGTAGGGGCCCCAAAAAACTTGAAAAATCCACATTAAGGAGAGCGATGGGTTAGAGGGCCAGCCTCGCCTGAGGTGCGGAGCATCGAAAACGTATCAACACCCGAAGAAGTCTCTATCCAGAGACTCGAGACAATTAGCTCCAGTTACCTATGGCAAGTCAACAGGAAGTTCCGTATTGAAATGAAATATGTCACAATGAGTTTAGCCCCATGATTTAGGACGTAAAATTTTCATAAAGTGCCACAAATTGCATTTATAAAACAATATTTGTTCTAATTTATGAATTATTATTGCATAATACGAGCATCCATACCAAAACTCGATCGTAATTTAGGGGCTCGTAAGACAAGGCGTTTAAGCAGAGTTTTTGCTATTTCGAGAAATACATGTTTGAAGTTTCAAAATTACATGGCTCTTCACGGCGGAGAAGAAGTGCAAACTGCGTTTTTCATGCTTTAAAATTGGAATTTGGGAGCACATTTTTCGGAGAATATGAATTAAGACTAGTTTTACTTGAAATCATTAATGTCTCAATTTTTTCAAAAACCATACTTATACGCCTTGTCCTCCAAGTCCCTCAATTGGACGTATTTCTGTCGAACAGAACTATAGCTAAGTCTAGCTGATCGCGATTTACTGTACATACACCTATAGAAATTGTACATTCCTGTAGAAATCGGGTCATCTCGTCTTTGCATGAATCGAAAGTTGCGTCACGTGAGATTGAAGGAAAATGATTACTTCGGCAACAGCCGCACCTGACTACGCAAGCACACCACCACCGGTCTCTTTGGCCTCATCCGGGTGGGCCAGCTATTCGTTGAGGAGGAGTCAGCTAAAACTCTCTGTGATTTTTGGACGTACCTATTATGGACTTTTTCTCTGAATGATACTTACCTGGTATGTTATCATGTTTTTCTAATAAAATGCTACTCGTGTTTATCTCACCATGTTCAACCAGTTTTTTTTGAACTTACTCATCATTATCTACTCGGAGGAATACCAGTCCGAACTTTGCTCGGGATGTTCAGACATTATGAGTAATAGTAATGTCGTAACTTAAGAGGTGCAGACATAAATATCGTAAAAATAATGATACAACTACAGCATGGCTGCAGAACTAGCTACTCGTAGCTGCTGCAGGGCCGGATTAAGGGGGTGGCCACATGGGCCGCGGCCCATGGCGGCAAATCTGGGGGGCGGCAAATTTTGCAATTTTTTTCATTGTAGGTATAAATAAAAATTGGATTTAGAAAAAAAAATTACAAACGAGAAAAGGCTACAAAAGCTCTCATTTCCTGAGAGTACAGTGATGTCTAATTTTGTCGTCTTTCAGTGATACAAGAGACAGCACCTTTAACTAGTCGAGTCAAGAGAGAAACCAAACACACAATTTGGCCTGGAACGGCGCGACTTAGGGAGAAATGATGACGAGGACTTGAGATGAAAAAGAGAAGCTCTCGGCGCGGCAGTCGGCATGTAACACATATTGGCGCCTACAAGACTACACGAATACTTCACGCATTGCATCAAACACAGTGCGGTTATTGTGGTCAGCGTGAAACGGATAGCGCCCACAAGACTGCACGAATACTTCACGCATTGCGCCAAACACAGTGCGGTCAGCATGAAACGCATAGCGCCTACAAGACTGCGTGAATACTTCACGCATTGCGCCAAACAAGGTGCGGTCGGCGCGGCGCGGCGGTGGCGGAAGTTAAAATCATTAAACCTTTTGTGTTTGTTCTTTCATAATTTTTTCGTTCATTTCTTATGAATGGAAGGCCTTGTCCAATAGAGATAGGTTTACGAAACTTGACTTCCGCGCAAAATTCCGTGACCTTTTGCTAGTAGTGTTGACAGGGCTCTCCCATAAAATGTGTCCAACACGAGTAAACGCGTCTTATGCACCCCTCCCCCGCTGGCACGTTCACTTGATGGTTTTTATTGATGTTTCAAAACGAATGAGAAGGGGCGGCAAAATACAGGCGGCCCATGGGCGGCAAGTAGGAAAATTCGGCCCTGAGCTTCTGAGTGCGGACGCAGCTCCTACTAGAGAAATAGCTGTAGGCATAACTTGGTCGCGCGTGTGGTTACAATACAGGTATAAAGTGTCTACAGACATAGTTATAATAGACACAGACATTTTTTTGAAAAATAAGGCCTTGTCTCCACGAGCCAATTCACGGGATTTGTTCCAGGGAAAAATTTCACTTACGAAGTCAGGAAAAATATCGATTTAATCAATATTTTTGCCAGTGTACCAAGTATCGTCCTTGTACCCCTAGGACCAACTGAGAGAGGAGGAAGAAGTGAAAGCGAACCATACGATATTTTGTTGGTTATTCCACTGTTCGTGTTCGTTTAGCTAAAATAATGTGTGTAATCGTCAATCACGTTCAATTATTATTTTAATCCTGGTTAGATACTTGATTTTAACTAACTTATCTTCCCGCGCGAACTTGTCGCAGGACCGTATGAGCCCCGTCACGTGGAGACGGTAACTGGGAAAAATCCCAGAAGTTTCATTCCTGCGATTCGAAGTTGGGACAAATCTCATGAAAGCGTCCCGTGGAGACAAGGGCTAAGTAAGCACGGACAATGAGGCATTCTGACACACCGTGTATGAAATACGAGTTTCGTATAGCTACACAGTCGAAATGTAGATTCAGCCACGTGTCTGCTTTGAGCGTAACTGAGCAAGTTCACACAGCGTGAAGTTGTAGGAATGGAGGGGCATGTGCGGCGTGGCGGCAGGGGAATAAAGGGGAGGAGGGGACGAAATTCATTCCATCGCCAAAATTCCACCCATGTGTACCCCGTGCCATCACTCGATAAAGATCTGAACCTTGGCATACGCACCAGATAGGAAAGTGGGTACTAAGTAGGTACATACCCGTGCGCAGTGAAATCTGCTACGCGAAATTTATTCAAACATTGCATCCCTGAGGATTTTTTAAAATAAATTTTTACTTTTTTATGAAATATATTCTTGTAGCAGTATCATAAAAACAATTGAACTATTTCGAATATCTGTATTGAATATAGTGGAATGAATTCAGAACATCAGGATCAAAGCTAAATGTTCTCTAAACTTAATGCTCACTCTTCTCTACATTTTGCAATAAGGAATAACAATTTCTGGCTCATCCGCACTTCCGTAGAAACACTTAAGTGCACAGGGAAACTAAAGGCACAAATGTTGTTTCTGAATCGAGCCAGGAATTGGACTTCCATATTGCAAAATGTATAATGAATAAAGCTCCATTAAGGATGTTCTTTGGCCTATCCTACAAATTGAAGGCGAAATAACGATGCCAATAGAGACCTCCATTGCGTGAACTGGACGTATAAAAATAACAATGAAGCACGCAAATCATTTGTGCATGTTTCCTTTTGTTTTATTATCTCATTAGAAAAAGGAATTGTTCAAAATTGTTGTCAGTACAATTCTCACAGTGCAGTGGATTCCAGGTCCTACCCACGTTTGCAGTCGTAGTTACAATGTTACTTTTATGATAAAAATTATTTCTGTCCCGGTAACAATTCAGCACTATCAACAAGACTGAGATATTTGTTATCAACAAAGTAACATTGTGATTACACTGGAAAATTAGGCGGGCCTATCACAAGAGTGGCAGTTCGCCTTCAATTTTAAAACATGCAAATCATCATACGTCGCGTTGTGCACATCAAGTTAGTGTTCTCGCGAAGCGATTGACAATGCGAGCTAAACCAATCGTCAGTATGCAAACTAATGATGACCAGTAAACAAGAAAAGACGATACTTTTTCAACTTTTTAACATGAGTCCAGACTCTTGAAAACATTGACAAGAAAAAATACTCTTGATTCAATCGGATTTTTGCTTGAATCAAAACGAAATCCGCTTAAATTAAGAGGCTTGGCTCCTGATTTAAGCCAGATTCTGCTGGAATCAAGAGTACTTTTTCTTGTCGATGTTTTCAAGAGTCTGGACTCTAGATCCAATCTGTTTTTTTTTTCCAGTGTACTCATTAAATTATCAGATCAATAGATTAATATTAGATATTATTCAGAGCCTCCCTGTCTCTGAACTTCTCTTCAGTCGCATCAGATGACGCAACCACGCGAGGAAACGAGGTCTCGGCGCTCGTCCCCGCAAATCCAGGGATTTTCGGGAATCTCGGCAACGGCGCCATCACTTGACATTGAAAGCTAGGCGAATTTTCCCGAGGCTACACCATCCACGCTGGAAAAACGCGCCCCAAATTTCCGAGCATCAACGGGAAGCGCCATTTTGCGTGGGCACAGGGTCGACCCGAAGGGTGGGGGGGGGGGGTCAAGGGGCTAAATCCACCCTGCAAGCGACAACCGCGTATCTGCAATGAAAATTGCGCGCAGTTACGTGGTTTCAACTTCTGGCGGTTGAGCGTGGGGTGCGGATCGATAGACGCCTCCTACGTCTGCGCCCGCGGCCGGAGACGGGGGTAGATTCCCCGCCGCGAGTGCCAGCCCGATTTTTAGGTTAAGAGACTCGACTTTGAGGTTAAAATCAACCCCGGAGAAATCGACCATCAGTGAAAATTATTTTCCGTGAATTTCGACTCGAGCGTCGACGTATTTAAGGAGCATTATTCTGAGATTTTTCATTCTGATTCGAGGCTTGTGATTTTTTTTTATTTTCTTTTTTTTTAGAGGGAGAGGCGCTCTCTTTGAAGCAACCCTGCTCGTGTGTGAAGTGCTTCCTGCCCACGATCGTTTCGCACCGGTGTAAACCACTTCCGTCGACTGCCCTGCTCTCCAAGGAATAAAAGCAAACAGTGACCGTGCGTGGATGGCTTCGATCCGTGTTTAAATATAATTTTTCGCCGCGAAGGAGTGTTACGTTCGATTTGAAAATCGACCATGTCGTACAGAGGAGCTTCCATGGGCCAGCATGGTAATTTCCTTGTTCTAATTTTTGTCTTCTTTTCACGTAAAGTAGGAGGAGGTGAGAGAACGAGTTCTACTAGCAGCTCTCTTCTAGGCACGAATGGTTGCATACGAGCGCACACTGGAAAAAAAACACATTTGATCTAGAGTCCAGACTCTTGAAAACATTGACAGGAAAAAATACTCTTGATTCAATCAGATTTAAGCTTAAATCAAGAACCAAGTCTCTTAATATGAGCGGATTTCCTTTTGATTTAAGCTTAAATCTGATTGAATCAAGAGTCCTTGTTCTTGTCAATGTTTTCAAGAGTCTGGACTGTAGGTAGATCCAATGTGTTTTTTTTTTTCCATAGTGCACGGTGGATCGAGTCAATAGGAGAGGTCGGACAAAATTTGGAAACTTTAAAAGCTTATAACTCCGTTTTTACAAAACTTTGAGGTTCTAAAAGTGGTTCCATTGGTTTTCTCGTGAAATTTCCTTCCAGAAGCACCCCTTATAATTTTAAATGTGGCATAGTAACAACATCAAAATAAACATCAAAATTTGTAGTTCTATTAAAGAATTTCATGTCCGACCTCTCTAATTGACTCGATCCACTGTGAAGAGGAGGAAGTGAGTATCTTTCGTGCTTCAATTTTGATATCGCGATATGTTGAGCATGATTTGGACGTATTTCTATCAAACAGACCTATGTGGAGGTGAGAAATATGGGGTGTGCTCGTCGAGGCTGCATAAGAAACAATGTAAAAGTGGACGTGATTCCTTTTGAAGAATTGGCAAAGCGGGATTTTACATTCTACCAAACAGACCTATGTGCCAACTGAATGCGGAACTCATGAGCCGCGGGCAAGGCAAGAGAGCGTTGTGAACAGGGCTCATGAGTTTATGCGGAGGCGGGCGGACGGGAGCGGCGGAGGCGGGCGGCTTCGTTGCCGCTGACGTCACTGGCGCACAATTATTCTCATTCACTCTTACGCAAAGAGAACTAACGAGCAAACCCCATATTTCTCACCTCCACATATATCTGTTTGGTAGAAATACGTCCATTTGTAGAGCAACTATTCATGCCTGAGAGATGTCTTTGAAGTATAAATGAAGAATTGAAGGCACCCTAACATTTTAGACCCTTGCAGTAGATCCCGCCGCACAATGAGACGAACTTTTCACAGAGGTTGGACAATAAATTTTCGACTACATCTGCAAATTTTGATGTTAATTTCTTCATATTACACGTTATACGGGCCGCTTCTCGAGGGCAACTTTACGAGAAAACCAATGAAACCACCTCTAAAACCTCTGCGTTCCTTATCAACATCAATATAGGCTTTTAATGTATCCACATTTCGTATGACACCTCTCATCGATTCGTTCCACTGAGTGCCGTTGGTAAGGCGGTTAAAACGCCTTCACTTTCGTGAGTATGCAACACGGACATCTACGGAGCCCGAAAAGTTGCGTCAGGAGCTGTAATGAAATTCGTTCATTATCCATCACATGCGACACTAACTGAAGCTTCGATTGTTTCGCTTACACCTCAACTTTAATTCCAGCGTTGCCTATTGTGCTGATGAAGTTAACTATTACTGATTTTTTTTAGCTACATTGTCAATTTTCCGAAAAATTTATGATTTAAATGTAGAACCTTGTTGCCGGCTCTCGAAATCGCAAAAAAATTAGGTATCTGATCATCATATGCGCAGTTTATTCCTTTAACCTACTTTAATACGTCGCCTTTGGTTTGGGGTTTTTCCTTCGGTGAAACTAATTTTGATCTTTAAATGCGAAGTTTTCAAAGAATAATCCCGTTGAATTGTAAAGAATTTGGAACAACAACGATGACCATTCGTCTTTTGAAAAAAATGAAATGCGGCAGGAAATATCTGTAACATTACAAGCCTAAATACACGTATATGATTTTCTAAGTGCAATAGCAAAATCATAGCACAGTAAAGTCTGGTAAACATATTAGTGAAAATCATATCTACTCTTTCCTTCCTAAAATGTGAGCTGCGCCCAGTTTCAGATTTAGTTACGAATCAAATTCTCTGAAAAATCTGACGGAAAATGTTCATAAGTTTCCCTAAAAATACGTACTTTATTAAGTTAAATTTTGCAACATCTGCAGCCTGATTGTTGAAATTTATGTCGGCTCGCCAAGAATCGAGAATCGATATATTACGCGGCGCAGATAGGGCTGTGTCTTGTCTTATCGTGCCGACAAAGCCAGTTAAAGTTTCAACAATCGGGCTGCTGGAGGCTCACTTGACATTCTTCCTTAGCACGTCCGTACAAGTATTGGTACATTCTCCTTTCCACGTCAACTGGGACTTAATTCCGTGTTTCAATTCCCGTTAAACCCCGCAGTGACCACAGAGACCCAATTCCCAAATGAACTTTACCCAATAAACCCCCTACACTGTCAAAAATGGGTTTCGTTTCACTTCCGCTCTAAGATCGTGTGACGTGTGTGTATACGCCCCATTCGTGAGAGTAAAATTAACGTGTAGTTCTAATCATTCGGAGTTAAATGGACTCGGAGTGAATTCACTCCTAAAGGTCCTGCCCCCCCTTCCTCTGGCAATAAACTGCGTCTGTAGTTCCCTTTGGCTGATTCAATTGAAAATTTCACGACTATTCGAAGTTATTCACTCCATCTCGTAGTCATGTGCATAAATCCTTTCTTTACTACCGAATTGAACTACACGTAAGCAGCCCATCACTGGAAAAAAAACACATTGGATCTAGAGTCCAGACTCTTAAAAACATCGACAAGAAAAAATACTCTTGATTCAATCAGATATGAGCTTAAATCAAGAACCAAGCCTCTTAATTTGAGCGGATTTCCTTTTAATGGGCCTGTTGCAAACTTTTGCTGGAGCAAAAATAAGAGTTGTTTCTTATAGATAATGCCTCAAAAATCACGATGAGCGCATCGGCAAAGTCTGAAATGCACTCATAACTTCACAATCTGCGTAAGAAATTTGCGTTTTTTTAAGCTTCCCGCTTCAAAAACGATACTACGGCATAGGTGAACATTTTGTTAGAGGAGTCGCTCCATCGTCGGCGATATTCATCATGGCCGACGCTTGCACGCAGTTCCGCGCGTAATTCAAGGAGAGTTCAAGGTCAATCAATTCGGGTGTGGAAAATATGAACGTTAACACACCGATTGTTATCTGGTTTAATCCAGTTCAGGTGTTATCTCGTCCCATCAAACGTGTTTTGGCGGATTGGCGTCGGCTATGATGATTATTGCCGACGATGGAACGACTCCTCTTACAAAATGTTCACCTGTGCCGTAGTATCGTTTTTGAAGCGGGAAGCTCAAAAAACCGCAAATTTCTTACGCAGTTTGTGAAGTTATGAGTGCATTTCAGAGTTTGCCGATGCGCTCATCGTGATTTTTGAGGCATTATCTAGAAGAAACAACTCTTAGTTTTGCTCTAGCAAAAGTTTGCAACAGGCCCATTTAAGCTTAAATCTGCTTGATTCAAGAGTCCTTTTTCTTGTCAATGTTTTCAAGAGTCTGGACTCTAGATCCAATGTGTTTTTTTCCAGTGATTTCTAATGTGTGGGCTACGTTAGTATCCCTAAAAATGTAAATTATTTTACACCTTAAAGGCTTCTTTATTTTTCAAATTATTGGGCTAGTGGTTTGAGTGGGTTCCCTCTCACGTGAAAGAAAAATAGAGCACTATGCACAGGCCTTTCTATTCAACTTCAACTCTGCTGTAATCGGCAAAATACCGTCCGAAGTGTAACAATTTGCATTAAGCGAGATTGAAGGCGTTTCACGTTCTCTGTTGCGATGTCCTTACGGCGGCGCGCGGCGCGCGGTGCTGTATGCATCAACTCAACTGCTTTAGATTAGAGGTCATTGGGTCAACAGATTATATTCGTGCGATAGGACTGTTTTCACAACATAGTAACAATTATTATGATGGTGAGACGATTACCTAAACATTTCACGTTGCAAATTCTCCGTCCTGAAGCCGAAGGTCGAAAAGGAACGGAACATGAAAATCGAGATGTATACGATTGTACGTCACAATACTAGTATGAGCCGAGCCCACACAAATATTGATCCCGAAACTTTTGTTACTCAAAGATTGCATTGTATCGAACTTTACTAATTTTAATATAATAATAAAATAACGAGAAAACGAAGCACGTTGACCTACCCGTTGCCAAGTTTATTCTCGTTCTTAATATAAAACATAAATTAAAAACGAATCAAATGGAAGATTAGAAATCATGCACGGATAAAAAAATAAAATGTGGTAAAAATAAGAAAAGAGAAAATAATTAATCCACCAATAAATAAATAAAAAAGAAAAAATAGCTTTAAAAAATTAATTGAAAATGAATTATAGAAGTCCACCATTCTATATTTGGTTAAATACCTTGCTCACTGCGGGCTCTATTTTTCTTGACAACTTCGGAGGTGTAAGTAAAGGAAGAGAAAATTTTCAGCATCGAACTCCTATCATTTGCCGAATGTATAAGTTTTCTCAAGGCCATTGTGACATCGGAGGATTTTGGTCTTCTCGCGCGAAAGGGGAGTTTGACTGAACAGAATTTAATAAAATTTGTAAATTATAATTGCAAATTTCTAACCTATCGTTTAATATGAAAACGTTTCAATTATTATTCAGCGTGTTCTGCAGGGCGTGTTTGTTAGATGTGAATCGATGTCCATATTGTCCATCAGTCGCGAGGCGTAGATGATCGATTATCGATATTTCCCTTTTTGAGGCTATGGTAAAGAATCGATTATTGAGGTGTTCGTTGCGAACACCCTGTTTATCGATCCTTTTCTACAGGTTAAAATGGCAGATCAATCTATATGTCGCCGGTAAATAGTGGAATCAGGCATTTTGTCAAATTCCTAGGCAGATAGTCCAATTTTGACTTTCTACACAATTTTGTGAATTTATGGGGAAGAGCTGACGATTTTTCACTATTTTTGGAAAAATTACTCATCAAACCTACGAACTCTTTTTGCCCTGGTGAAAATTGGCAGTAGAATCTGTGTTCCAAAATACCATAGACCTACAGCCGGCTGTAAGATTTCCAATAGCTTCCATAGCCTGCAACACAATTTCTTATAGCCTTTTACAGCCGATGGCGACTAAGCAACAGCCTGACGATAAAGTGCATGCTATCCGTTACTAATTACAGATGCTAGGACTTAGTGAGTTTTTGGACTACCGCTCTCTTTTTGGGCCGTAGTATCTTGATTTATTTTGCGAGGGAAGCTATATACTTTTGAAGGATGCCTGCCATTCCTAATATGTTGGAGCGCCTTCAATTTCGTACGATACTATGCAATACCTTTGGTGTGAAATAGTTGCTTCAAGCGCCGTGTTACGCTGCGGCGCGGCGCGGCGGGCGGGCAGCCAGCGCAAAACGCGCATTGGCGCCTACAAACCTAACAGGGATACTCCACGCATTGCGCAGTGCTTGAAGTATCCCTGTTAGGTTTGTAGGCGCCAGAGCGCCGCCGCTCCGCTTTGTGTTAGGCTCTAATATTTAATCTCGTGGAGTCAGCGTTGTTCAACTCATGACTTTGAAATGTTTGCACACTCTGTATGGATTATTCTCATTTTAATTGATGAAAACAAATATGTAGTAAAGGAAAATATAATGTGCGTTTTATAAATATTATGCTGATTCCGTACAAACTTAAGGATTTACAAAGCACACGAATTTCTACACAATTTCTCATAGCCTTTTACATCCGATGACGAAAAACCAACAGCTAGGCGATAAAGTGTAAAGCCCGGCGACAGGAACTATAGCCCGGCTGTTTCATTTCTTATCGCTTCGTGTAGCCCGACCGTATGATTTTTTCCACTTTCTACAGCCTGCTATATGATTTTCTATCGCCCTCTTCAGTCGGTTATAAGAACTCCTATGGTATTTTGAAACGCAGCTCCTATCGCCAATTTTTACCAGGGTGTCTCTTCCTCTTCAATTGCTTCTTATATTTTTGAATGTTGAAATTCCAAGAATTCTGTATTTTACGACTTGCTGAAAATTTCAAGATCAGTGTCTCTTCAGGAGCTAAAAATTGTTTAAGATACTATTGTGTGTGCAAATTTTTACTGAGAATTTTTTCTTGCAGGAGCAATGCATTATACTGTCCGAAATTAGGGAAAAGAATCAGAATTTCAATCTAAGTTAAAATATTTGACTTTTTGCCTAGGCATTTGACAAAATGTCTGATTTCTTTATTTGCCTGCGACAGATATATCGCAAAGCATGCCACGCCACTGCCGTTCATTTATCTTTGAAAATTATGATTTGGGAGACAAACTAAAAATATTAGTGGTTTCACTTTCTAACCTCTCGCTTCAATCATTGTGTGTGTTCTAGAGGTCGAAACTGACGTGCAAAATCTACGGGAACAATTGGAGCAGATGAGGAGCCTGGTGAACGACCACGCGCATATCCTGGAGGGCTCCGAGAAAGGGAAGAAGAAGAAGGCGAACCAAGACAGCATTATCAACGGTTCTTTCCTCAGTTTCATGTTCCTTACTGTATTCATGATGATCATGGGCGTCTCTATCTATGCCTTCAAGAGCCTCTTCGCCGCCATCATTAAAAAATTCAACCACACGCATACCGAGCTATGAAATGGCGAGTCCGTCGCCTTCTAGAGTGCAGTGGCCATTCTAGTAAGTTGGCAATACTGGTTTCGCTCCCATTTAATGCAATTATAAATAATCGATGATGTGCGATTCAAGGTATCGATTGTTTTACATACGGTAAAACTGTTAAAGCCGAGTATTACCAACTCGCTATAAGTGCCACTCTGCCATGCTGAGGGAATACGGCGTATGAACATTCGAGAGTTGCCAAATTTCCCTCGATAAAATGTTTATTTTTGAGGAACATTCTGAATACTTTTCCTTGAAATTTTCAGACACTTTAGATCAAATTACAAACGAAATTATCTGAGAAATTGGCAGAAAAACATTCAAAGAATTTCCTGAAAATTAGTGATTTGCCAGAGGGAATTAGGCATCGCCTGAAGGCTCATACGGCGTTTTTCCTTAGCACGGCAGCCTGACTCCAGTTTGGTCGCGGTCCAGGATGGGGTGCTGTCAACGAGAAACAAAGTAATCAAGAGACCCTTGACAGGCTGTCGAAAAAATAATCTTATTCTATGGGTCGGAAATAGTTTTACATCTGGACCCCGCGTTAATTACTTCCGAATTATTTACGTACAANTTTGCAACAGGCCCATACTGGTTTCGCTCCCATTTAAAGCAATTATAAATAATCGATGATGTGCGATTCAAGGTATCGATTGTTTTACATACGGTAAAACTGTTAAAGCCGAGTATTACCAACTCGCTATAAGTGCCACTCTGCCATGCTAAGGAAGAACGTCGTATGAACATTCGAGAGTTGCCAAATTTCCCTCGATAAAATGTTTATTTTTGAGGAAAATTCTGAACATTTTTCCTTGAAATTTTCAGACACTTTAGATCAAATTACAAACGAAATTATCTGAGGAATTGGCAGAAAAACATTCAAAGAATTTCCTGAAAATTAGTGATTTGCCAGAGGGGATTAGGCATCGCCTGAAGGCTCATACGGCGTTTTTCCTTAGCACGGCAGCCTGACTCCAGTTTGGTCGCGGTCCAGGATGGGGTGCTGTCAACGAGAAACAAGGTAATCAAGAGACCCTTGACAGGCTGTCGAAAAAATAATCTTATTCTATGGGTCGGAAATAGTTTTACATCTGGACCCCGCGTTAATTACTTCCGAATTATTTCCGAATTATTTACGTACAATTATTTCCGAATCTCCTCTGCGGCAGCCCTAAGATGAGGCCCAATGATCGAGAGAGGCTGAGATTTTATAGATAGACCACGCCGCAAATTTATTAATGTCAAATGATTGCAGTATATACCTACTCGGAACAAAATTGCAAGAAAGTGAGATTTACTGCATCAAATCACTGTAAAGTTGCTGATTTATCGAGCCGATTGCCCGCGATGTTATCGGTGGAAAACATCGCGGTAAAATCAGTGAAATTTGAGGAGGGGGTGAAGTCGCGCTCAAATGATAGGAGTGCTTGCGATATAAACGCAAGAAATTAGAAATAAAATGGTAGCTTCATTTAAAGTAATTGCAACTTTGCCGTTCAGAAATGCTACTTGAAACACGTTGAAATGAAACGTTTCGAGCTCCTCATGGAAAATGTTGGACTCATCTCGCGAAACGTTTCTGAAAAAGTTTCATGCTTTTGTTATGATCATCGAATTTCATATGACAGCTGAGTCCAAAAGTTGATGCTTGGTAAGACAGAACCTCAGAAGATTTCAAGCCTGAAAGTAGAATTAGCACCAATAATGCTAGCGAGTGTGGTGAAGGATAATTTCGGGGATTAACGTGAAGGTATGCCTACCCTCCACCAGGGAAACTTAAACATTTTAGATGTACACTTCTAGGCAACCTAGAACTTCATCTTGATGGGACTCCATGAGATTATAATTACCCAGGACTCGAAATGTAAAAAAAAAACATCGAATACCTGGGAAAACTGGCAAACTTTTAGAATATTCAAACTATGAAAATTGCAATGCTTTAACGAGCTATCCTCCATTTTTAAGTAAATGCGTAGGTGTCCTATTTTGTTGACTTCAAATAAATTATTTTTATCCATTCTCTGTATGTATCCCCAGAGATGACACGTGACTTTTAACCATGTATTAAACTTAAAATAAATCCTTCCCCATGATTTCGAAATATATCCCGACGTTGAGAGAAGTCTTCAAAACTTTAATCAAAATATATTGTAATTTTTTTATGTGATTTGACGCAAATATTCGAATCCTTTTCATTCATGTTTTCCATTTTTCGATATTTATTTAGCGGTTTAATAAAAACATGGGAACATTTCGAAGTAATCATTAGTGCCCGAAGTACGATATTCATTGTATAGACTCTTTATAAGTAATATTTTAAGTACATCTATGTCTTCTCCGTTAGCTAATTTTAAAAAGACTGCCCTTAAGGAATTATATGTTTGTACTCCTTTTCATGCTCATTCGTTCTTCCTTGAAAAAGCAGGCTGAATTTAAATCGAAATTTTTCTTATGGTCAGTATTTGCTGATAAATCATTCAAATTGTGCCAAGTCAAAACTAGTAATATTTATTTTTCGTCCTTCCTTCCTTCCTTCTTTCCTTTATTCGAGTGAAACTGTGCAACATTCTATTACAATTGAGGGGCTTAGAAAACAAGGCGCATAAGTGCAGCTTTTGAAAAAAGTGAGATATCGATTATTTCAAGGAAAACTAGTCTCAATGCATATTCTGTGAAAAATTCGGCTCCAGATTCCAATTTTTCAGCACCAAGAAGTCAGTTTGAACTTAATTCCTCCCGTAAAGATGCATGTAATTTCGAAATTTCAAACAAGTATTTCTTGAAATAGCAAAAACTGCACTTTTGCGCCTTGTCCTCCAAGCCCCTCAATGGAGATGTTGCAAGTGCGAGGGATTTGCGATTTGACTGTTGTTTCTTATGTAAAAGTTCGCGGGAAACACAATGGTGCCACTGGTTTTCTCTGAAATCATCTCCCAAGCTCCAAAAAAGCTCTCTAAGTGAGGCCAAAATGGAGGGGATATCCCACCCTGCCCTGAGGGTACACCTCTACATCAAAACAAACTCTCCATGCAAAGATAGGGAGCAAATACATTGACAGGGCTGCCACTTCATTTGGGNCGCGATTTTCGAGCTTTTCACGGCTTTAAAACCGCTCCCAATGGACTTAAAAAGAAAAAAATTGGCATCATTTTTGTCTTAAAAGTAAGCAGCATTAATTTTTAAGGTAAGACTATCCTGAAATTTGACGAAAGAACAAATTTATTGCACACAAATGGCGAAAAACCGTGGAAAATCGCGATTTTACGAGTTTATAGAGCTTTCCACGGCTCCAGCACTCTCCCTGATGGACGTATGAAAAAAACGTTCAAATCATATTTATAGGAAATTTTATCAGCTTTATTTTCGGAAATAACTATTTTCTCGATATATCGCACTGGAAAAGAGATATCTCGGGAAAACCGCGGAAAAACGTGATTTTTCGCGGTTTTTCCGATTTTCCGGAGTTAGCACAAGGAAAATTTGTTGGGAAACCAAAAATTCGGATTCAGCGTAAAAAATTACATAGGAATCAATCATAACCTGANGATAGGGCGGGATATCCCCTCCATTTTGGCCTCACTTTGAGAGCTTTTTTTGAGCTTGGGAGTTGATTTCAGAGAAAACCAGTGGCACCATCGTGTTTCTTGCGAACTTTTACATAGGAGACAACAGTCAAATCTCAAATCCCTCACACATGCAACATCTCCATTTGGGTTATGTAAACATACACACGGACATGTTTGGTGGACAGCCAAATTTTAATGACAAATTAAACACTTAAAAAATTTAACAAAAATATGCTGCGTATTTCATTCGAAACGAAATCAAAACAGACAAAAAAACAAAACGAGGCTCTCGTTCCACCCGGGTGCAATCGGGTCATTGTTGAAAGACGTAGAAAAATATGCTGGTGGAGGAGAGTACAGACGGATCGATCACATGGAATAAAAATTCAAGGACGCGGGGCCCATGGGACGTGCAAAGCTCAGTTCGGCCCGTCGTACATGTTGTGCGATTTGATGATGTCGTCCATTTCCTCGGACGTCGGGGATTCCTGAAGGCAAAGAACAAAAAAAAAACAATTAATCCTCCAACAGAGAACAGTTGCATTTTCGAAAAATGAACTTTTTTAGGTCAACGGGTCGGTTTCGATGTACAGTCAGACTTTTATTTTGATACCAGGAAATTGGACGTATTTAAACAGAAGAATTCTATTTACATCGAGAGTTTTAGAAAAGAGACAAAAGTGCAATAGGATAGGGCTTAAAACATCAAATCAGTATAGCCTTGGATAGACGATCAAATTTCGAAACCAATTCCGATCAAAGTAGACATGCTGATGACTGATGGTCACCATCTACCATCAAATTTTGACGGGCCGCACTATTTTGTTCAAGGTAAGATCAGAATGGAGTGCCACTATTCATCATTTCCTGCCTCAGGAAACATTTCTGCCAAGTTTTCATTTTAAAATTAAGCAAATCAATGAGTTTAAGACTGATGACTCCCGACACTTTGGTGGTGATTGGTTCGGGAACTTGATCGTCTATCGAGACCTTATAATAGCCAAGCGTAGGACAGAGATGTCGGTAATAGCGCCTTGCTTTGATGCAACTATCCGTGCTCTATAGACATCCGTATTGCATACTAAAGATTGAAGGCGCTCCGAACATCTAGTCCATGAAGCGATACTTGCAGCGACTCGCTGTCGCGACTGGGTGTGGCCGTGATATACAGTATCCTTACATGAGAAAATGGTGCGGAAATATCCTTTTCTATCTTTTCACCATAATTTTCATCCGAGAATTGTACCAGCACGCCATACACTGCTGCGTGCACTGTTTCGTGGACTAGTGACCAAAGCGCCTTCCATTTTTTTAGATGCCAAACGCGCGTCCATAGAGTATGAATAGTTGTTTCAAGGAGTTATTACCAACACGATTGAATGCGTTGCTTAATTGTTGACTGAGGTATTGGCATGAGAAGCCTCGCCTCGTCTTATTGTACCTGAGTGCTGCCTAAAAAGTTTGATTAAAAAATGAGCACATTTAAAAATGCTAATATTTTGAAGTTTTTCGGTTAAAAAAACGACTTTATTCGATCTTTTGTTTCTTCTTCTGGGAAACAATCTCATCAGTCACTGTTACTGTGGGAACTATAAGATTGTTGTTGACATTTCAGCAGTGATACAGCGCTACGTTTGTACCCACAGGGGGTCACAGACCACCCGAGCCAGGTTTTATCTCTGTTATAATAGGTCGGATGATGTTTGGGACGAGGAGTCGAATAGGGATCGTACTCCAGCGGGTCGATCATTGAATCGTTATCGAATAAATTTGATCGATAAATCCCTATCTTGACAATGTTATTTATCGATCAAGGTCATTATAGATGCCGATTCAATAATCGAACCGCAGGAGTTAGACTTCCATGGTTGCTAAGTCTCACAGCCCTCCTTGGGGTCCATTCCCTATTTAATCCCACATATTAACTGACACCATTATTCAGACATTAACCGACATACAATACCCGAGAAGAAAGCCTGGCAGGGATGATGATCTGAGGCACCTTTTATATAATTTTCAACCCTTTATCGCTAGATCGCTGGATCGTGATGTCAAGAAAAGTCTTCATCCCCCAGTAACAATACTTGTAACTGTTGAGATTGTGTCGCAGAAAATAATAATAATATCAATAAAAGATCGATTAAAGTTGCTTTTTTCAACCGAACAACTGCAAAATATTCGTATTTTTGAAAAATGAAAATTTTGCGACGCTGTATTGCTTAAACGAGCTTTGCAATTAGGCTAAAAATTTCACTGGAGGATTGTCTCGTTAAAAGGTTTTATTTGGGACAGATTTGAACGAAATTCCTGCGTTTCTAAAAATTAAGAGGATAAACAGGCCCCTTTTTTTGACAGACTCTTGAGTAATATTTTCGAGGAGATGGCCCCGTTGGTCGAGGATGATTTTACATTCTTCGTAAAAATTGGCAGTAGAATCTGTGTTCCAAAATACCATAGACCTACAGCCGGCTGTAAGATTTCCAATAGCTTCTATAGCCGGCAACACAATTTCTTATAGCCTTTTACAGCCGATGACGACTAAGCAACAGCCTGGCGATAAAGTGTATGCTAAACGTTACTAATTACGGATGCTAGGACTTAGTGAGTTTTTGGGCCGTCGTGTCTTGATTTTATTTTGCGAGGAAAGCTCCGTACTTTTGAGGGATGCCTACCATTCCTTATGTGTTGGAGCGCCTTCAATTTCGTATGATACTGTGCAATACCTCTGGTGTGAAATAGTTGCTTCAAGCGCCGTGGTACGCTGCGGCGCGGCGGGCGGGCAGTCAGCGCGAAACGCGCATTGACGCCTACAAACCTAACAGGGATACTTCACGCATTGCGCAATGCGTGAAGTATCCCTGTTAGGTTTGTAGGCGCCAGTGCGCCGCCGCTCCGCTTCGTGTTAGGCTCTAATATTTAATCTCGTGGAGTCAGCGTTTTTCAACTCATGACTTTGAAATGTTTGCACACTCTGTATGGATTATTCTCATTTTAATTGATGAGAAAAATAATGTGCGTTTTGTAAATATTAAGGTGATTCCGTACAAACTTAAGGATTTACAACGCACACGAATTTCTACACAATTTCTTATAGCCTTTTATAGCCGATGGCGAAAAAGCAACAGCCAGGTGATAACGTGTAAAGTCCGGCGATAGGAACTATAGCCCGGCTGTATAATTTTTTGTCGCTTCGTGTAGCCCGGCCGTATGATTTTTTCCACTTTCTACGGCCAACTATGTGATTATCTATCACCTTCTTCAGTCGGCTACAAGAACTCCTATGGTATTTTGAAACGCAGCTCCTATCGCCAATTTTTACCAGGGATGTAATAATGAAAACGGAAAGGGGGTCATCCTGGGGGTCTTCAAGCGGCCCAACCCTCCGAAAAGCATTCCGAAAACGCAGTAAGCCGCTTTGTAGCGATGGAATTTCTGGATGAAATTAAACATTTAAAGGTTATAAATGTGAGATTGTTAATGCCCGAATAGTTATTCAAATTGACCGAGTGGATGTCTAATCGCGCATAAAACAAATATGCATCAATATATAATGTGGAATGAAGAGAACATTTTTTTAGTTCCCAGAACTGTCGAATCTATCGACGAAGCAAAGATCAGTCGACAGAATCGATAAACATAAATTTTCGATGTAATCATTTTGGCAGCATGTTATTTTTTGGAAAAACAAAGCCGATGGACGTGCGTCCGTGTCAACTAAAAATTTGGAGAGTATAATGATGCTAGCTAGTAATATTCTAAAAAAATCATCAAATGCAATAGTTAAGTGGCCCCGCTGTATACTGATAGGCAAAACATGTAGTATAATAATGTACATGAAACTCAGCGAATAATCGATAAAATTATGGCATTCCTTCTAAAGCGCATGGTGTATTTGATCTTTAGACGGTAGGAATTTTCAGATGCAGTAAGTATGAAGGCTTCGACTATAGCTCTAGGTAACTAAAATGAAAGGAGAAGCAATGCAAGACATACCCATGGGCAGCAGCTGGAGGATTTAAACATGCGTTTTCTCGGAGTGCAAGAATATGTCATTCGAGCCAGACAGAAATTTGTCCTCATTCTCTCGCCGAGTCTGAAATATCAGCGTTGGTCATAAGTCAGTTGAGCAAAATGGAAAATATTCATGCAAAATAAGTGAAACATAATACGATGGGTAACTTCTGCGTGTCACAGAATCGTGTTTTAGTGAATACCTACATAATATGTAATCCTAGACTAACAAAAAAGTATGATATGTCTTTCAACATAGATAAGAAAAAATAGTAAAATTTTGTATTGGATATAATTTTGGTTCACATCATGAAATTGATGTGGTTAACTCATCGCGTAGTTTTATGACTGAACCAAACTATCTGATATTCTGAATAAATTTGGGAAATGCAGTCATACTTTCTGGGTGACATCAACCTTGCTTACATAAATATAGTCAAATGTATCATTCGTTTTTTGTTGAACGTATAGTCCATACGTCCAATATTGAGGAACACATGGGTCATTTTAAAATATGTTGGATGACATCATCCATTGTTTTAGCATGCCATAGTTTTTCCCATCTTGGTCTCATACGTAATGTATGAAGAAAGACCGTTGTGAATTATGTTATTAATGACCAAGTGATTGGACCAAGATGGCACAAACCAAGGTATGCCAAGAGCGACGTATGATAAACACTTGGCGTTAGGGATGATCTGATCCTACCATTTTTTCTAATGTACACGATTCAATAATCAAAAACGATTCTGTGACAAGTGCGATAGAGATATTGTAGAAGAGAATGTTTTTGATCCATCTGAAAGTACTTGATGAACTGAATACAGTGTTTCTTGACATGGAGAAATAAAAGAAATGGAAACTTAAATTAAGAAAATTTACTGCTCTATCACGTCATAGCATCAAACGCATGTATTTTAGCAATTCAATCATTCTCTCATTATACTACTGCAATTGGACTACATTTTGCAATTAGGAACTATAATTTCTGGCTCAGTTTAGAAACAACGTATGTACCATCAGTTTCCTTATGCACATACGTGTTTTTACAGATAAGCCAGAAATTATAGTTCCGAATTGCAAAATGTAGTCCAATTAGTGCTCCACTTAAAGAGTGAGAGTATCCGGGGTGCGATTGTAACGCCATATTCAGAGTTATTTATTTTTTGGACCTAAATAACCATTCCGCACCCTTCAACAACCTCAAATCTCGCTTGAGTGTGCTTATTACTTCTGATCTTGTGCTATCAAAAAGAGGAACTATGCAGTAAGTATAATAAGATTAAGAGGAATATTTAAACTTTACACTTTGTTAAATTACACTTTACAGAATATACAGAGTGTTTTTATTTGTGACGAATAAATTAGCGTACGATAAAAGTGGTAAAATGTAAATAGGAGAGCTAAGTTAAGAGTTGGATAACAAAACATAGTTGATCATAACAACTGACAATTGGCTTAAGGATGAATGCACTCTTTGAGATGTATATTTCCTGTGACTTGAGAAGACCTGATCAGCATGCTGGTCAAAGAATGGCGTCCCAAAAATGTAAAACCCGAACAAGCATCCCAGTTTCTGATTGTCATCATCAGAGCTTTACGAAATACACCGACGGCAAAAGTTCGCACCCACGTACCTTGGTTTACGACGTTGCTGACTTCCTGTCATACTTTGTTTTTTAAATAAATGCCAATTCTTAAAAACTGCCGTGATTTTTTTTCTCTGTGCGAGGAAAATTCTGCGAAAACTTCAAGGAATGATGGCGATTTGTTCTCTTTTGAAAAAATAAGATAGGGACAAAGATTTTCAAACATTGCAAACGCGATACGTGATTGCGGACTTTCCCCCGTCGATATACGTGAAGCAAAATGAACGATCCACTTCTTACAACACTAAAGAGTATAAAGATCAATTAATATCAACCAAAAGCATTTTAATTTCTGGACCAAGTTCAGAGGGACCGTGTAAGTACATGTATGCAACTTTAAGATGTTCAGTTCGGCGCGGTGCGGAAAAGCAGCTCTATGATCGCAGCGTAAAAATCGCCTTCAAAATGAAAAGTATGCAACTCCACGTCGGACGTATTTGAGAAGATAACGCTTGAAATCGAAAGACTAATTGGATTACACTTCGCAATTTGGAACTATAAAGTCTAGCCCAGTTTAAAAACAACGTATGTGCCGTTAGTTTTCTTGTGCACATAAGTGTTTTTCCAGAAGAGCCAAAATTTATAGTTCCAAATTGCGAAATGTAGTCCAATTGTAGGTGAAGAGCGCCGATTCTGTTATTCGCTGCTAACTTTTTCTCAGTACTATGCTTTTTGGACTGCTAAATTTAAAGCCTTAAAACTTCCGTTGGGTTATTGTTGATATTTTTTACAACTTCACACTAATTTCAAGTATGGGATCATGGATAAGTCCTATAACGTTAGCGAATGAATTGGAATTTGATCGATATAAATTGTTGGAATTTTATCGTCAGGGGGACCGAAAATTGCGAGACATTGCAAGATTCTACCAATTGTTGCGTAGTCGATATCGATTAGCCAATTATTAGCGATACCGGTGGATGATTGCGATTGAATACCAATTTCATCTATAGAAGGAATCTATCACGATAAAATCGGGGAAATTCTTGCAAATATTAATAATTCTACAGATTTTATCGGGTTAAAGTGACCAAAAAACCGCAATTTTATTCCATTCAATTTTAACGTTTCAATAAAAAACGTTTTTTGAGTAACATTGTTTCAGACCGTGAATAAGAGAATTAGTAAATAGGCGCTCTCGGTCAAAGAATAGAAATACAAATTAACATTCCTTTTTCTGAGGAAATTTTTATGTAAATTTCTTAAAATTTTCAGAGACAAATGTAAGCACCATAACAAATCACCGTTGTTACGGCCATTGATAAGAAACTTTCAGGTTTGACTCAAAATAATTGGTTTTTAAGTATGAAAATTCACTATTATAGGCGCTCCACAGTTTTTAGAGGTTGTAAAATAGTTTCAAAAAGTTCTCATGAAATGTTGCATCCCAAATGATATCGATCCCAAAAGCAAGCGCAGGCTTGTGTCTTTTTCACTGGGTGCCTAGGATTTGAGCGACTGGTTAGATTAAGCAGTAAAGTTATTGAGAAATTCGAGGCGATTCTTACCCGCCATAGGTTGGGATCCCAGGAGTTGAAGTAGGATTTGAAGTCCTCCGGCTCATCGCCTTGCTTAATAAAACTAACGTTGTCGGTCATTGCATGGATATAATCGAGCACATCCTGTGAAAAAAGCTCAGTCGATTAATTCAGAGTGACGTTAAAACGCTTCGTTGCACCTCGGAGGCCTTTCACAAGGTGGAGAACGATTCGAAAGCTAATCGATGGTTACTGGATATTCGGGCATTACCTACGAATTCCAGAGCATCACATCATCAGTGGCGATTTTGCAAGTTGGCAACATCGCCCTCCCTCCACTTAAATCCATTAAAAATATCGATATTACATGAAGCAAGCTGTCTCATCAAGAATCGATTGTTTTCCATACATTTGAATGGAGGAAAAACAAAGTTGCCATTTTTCAAGAATTTCCGCTGCACATCATGCTGTTGTGAGTCAAGTATTCGCATGGACAATTTTATTAAGAAACTTTTTGAAATAACTCCGAAAACTGCCTTACGTGAAAATCGCAAATCGGAAGGCAACTGATTAGCGATATTCACTCGAGACGTACTTTTCAAGCTAATTTTAATGGTTTCTTGGTATGAAAATACTCGACGTAATAAATACAACAGCGTGATGTGACGCTTGGGAATTCTTAAGGAATGTCCTATGATCCAGAAATTATCAGTCGATCAATACTATCGATCGATTCGTTCTCCAACGTGTTGAAGATCCACCTTGAGATGAACTCATATCATAAGCGAATATACCAGTAGCATTGACTGATAATTTCGTTGCTACAACCAATCGATATATCAGCACTTATTTGACGTCTTGCATACCTTTGCAATCGTCTTTTTTGTTTTCTTGCCAACCTCAGGAGATACTCTGCAATAAAGTGCGATCACGTAGCTTAATGCCTTGAAGTCCGGCAGATATCAATGAGGAAAATGCAGAAACACGTGTCTCAGTTTGCTGTGGCGTTCAAACTTCCAGTCATATTTCATTTTCACCATCGATAACTACTAAACGCCATCTCTTTAAAACTCCGGTGATTTTTTTTCTCTCGGTAAAGAAGTTCTGCGAAAATTTCAAGGCATGATTTCCGTTTGCTCTCCTTTTAAAAAATAAAATAGCAGCGGAGATTTTGAAACACCGCAAACAAGATGCGCATTTTTGAAGTTTCGCCGTCGATATGCAAAGTAGCGTGGCGTAAAAATTGCGATGTATCAATTGTTATGTAATTTAAACATATGGTAAAGAATCGATCATTAAGGTGTTCGCTTCGAACAAACGTTAAATTCATCGATCCTTTTCCATAGGTTTAAATGGCATGACAATCGATGTATCGCAATGCACGCCACGCCACTGGATATGCAGCTTGACTTCCGAGGTAACATGAAAACTGCTGCAACCGTAAACTAGGGAATAGATGTTACCCTAACCGAGTTTAAGAACCATCATCAAACTTCCAACAGACTCAAACGGTTAATGAGCGTTAAAGCGCTATCAGGGACGCATCTGTAGTACACCAAATGTATAACTTCTTCTGCTTTCCGGAGATCCAGGGTTGGCGGAACAATGTTGCAGTGCTGCGGTCGATGACGTAAGACACCGTATTTTTCGAAGGGCGGACGTGAAAACTTGGCATTTGGCAGATACGATATTCTTGTTTTTGCTAATTTTCAAGCTTCAAGAACCAAAACAAGAACCTATATAATTTAGGGCAACCGAATTGTTGGGTTTATACCCTATTTGTATTATTCTCATGACGTTGTTAATGGCTATGTTTGCGAGACTCGCGATGCATTTTCCAACATGTTTACACAATGCTGACTTAAACAGCATGTATGCCAAAACTAACGTTTCTCCGAACAGCGAACAAATGTTCGCACGTCAAGGTCCAGACCAAAATATGTCTAGAGGACGAGGGCAGACTCATGATTTTGCCTCCTCCACAAAGACTCGTGAAATAACTGACGGTCGATTATGTTTTATGTGTTGGAAAGTTCAAATTACCTTTGTGTGGTTTTGAACGACTTGCTCTTCCCTTGCGGAGGCGTCCGTGCCGATCCAAATGTATACGATTTGATCTGTGTCTAAGATCATGACATCATCATCGATGAGATCCTGGAAAATTCAGGAACATAAAACCAAAAATTAGGGCAAGTAAAAAAGTTTCATATAAAGAGGGGATGGCACTGAAAATCTAGATTATACACAAGAACTCTGATGACTGCGAAGGACTGACAATTAAACTCTCAAGTAGCACAGTTTGCAAATACAATGTGAAATCATTTCTGTGGTGCCGGGGTGTTGTGTATATGTTGTCTGCTCATTGTTTGAAGGGGTCCCTCTGATTGAAAATTGCAATGAAATAAAAATAAGTTGCATTTTTTGTATTGCGAATAGCCAAACTCTCTCACACATGAAACTCGTTTCATTAATCGTTTAGAATCTGCATTTAATGACCAACTCATGTAAAAATAGTTTTGTTTGATAAAGAAAAATTGCAAAATTATTTCAATATTTTTGTTACACTGTGCTGTTTGGGAGCTACTGTTCTTTAAAATATTTACCCTATTTATCGGACCCTCTTCTTCAAATTGACGTTTACCGTCGGGGTCTTGATAGCCAAGACTGTACATTTTACATTTCAAATGTTTTCATGATTCGTTGTCCTAGAATTGCCCTCGCAGAATAATCAAGATAGATTCGCCGTAATTCTTTTGGCTACACATTTTCCTGTCGTTTTATCTTCAATTTTTTATCAGCTAGCTCAATTTTTTCTATAAACCGTTTTAAATTTCTTAAATCTTCGGGACGAGGAGTTTATTGGCGTCACCAGTCTTTCATCTTCGATATTGCAGTAAAAGCTTCTTACTATCTATGAACCTCTACTTTGGGTTAAAGTGCGATCCAATAGAAATACGAACTCTGTGAAATAGAAGTGATTTTTCCGTCAATTAACACTTTCAAATAAATATTTTAAAGCGGTAATTTCTTAATTGCACCACAAATCGGTATTTGTGAGTGACCAACTACTTGTAAAAAGTGAAAGATCACGGGGCTGGCGGAGTACGGGGGCGGTCACATGGGCCGCGGCCCGTGACGGCAAAATTAGGGGGCGGCAATTTTGCAATTTTTTTAAATGCAGGTACAAATAAATCGGATTCAGAATAAAATTACAAACAAGAAAAGGTGACAAAATCTCTCATTTCCTGAGAGTTCATTAATTTCTAATTTTGTCGTATTTCGGTGATACAAAAGATTGCGCACTTTTAATTAGTTGAGTTAAGTGAGAAACCAAACACGTAATTTGGCCTGGAGCGGCGCCCAAAAAGGAGAAGCCCTCGGCGCGGCGGTCGGCATGTAACACATATTAGCGCCTACGAGACTGCATGAATACTTCACGCATTGCGTCAAACGTAGTACGGTCAACAGCGGTCGGCGCGGCCGGCGTGAAACGCACAGTGCCTACAAGACTACATGAATACTTCACGCATTGCGCCAAATACAGTGTGGTCAGCGCGGCACGGCGGCGGCATTTAAAATTTTTAAACCACATTCACGTTTGTTCTTTCTTCATTTTTTAGTTCATTTCTTACAAATGAAAGGCCTTGTTCCCACAGAGATAGGTTTACGGAACTGAACTTTCGCACGAAGTTCCGTGAACTTTTGCCAGTAGTGTTGACAGGGTTTACGCAAAAAATGTGTCCAACACGAGTGAATGCGTCTTATGCACCCTTCTCCCTCCGGCACATTCACTTGATGGTTTTCATTGATGTTTCAAAATTAATGAGAAGAGGGCGGCAAAACACAGGCGGCTAATGGGCGGCAAATAGGTAAATCCGGCCATGTCAGGTCAATTACAGCTCATAAAATACATTTACCTCTTGAGAGTAAGCAGGTACGTTTGAGATGTTCAACTTATTTTCAATTGACAACCAGTATAACCTGGGCTCAATGTGCCTGACGTCTCTGCCAGTTCTGGTTCTCGTAGTTGGGCTTGGGCTAGGGCTGTTACCTGGTTTAAGAATAAAAAAAACAATAGTTGCAATTGATGTAAATCATATTAAGTATGAGTTTTATAGGTTTTAAAAAAATGAATGCATCGCCTTCCGGAGAGGGTTGAAAACTTACATATACTTTCGGAGCCCCTCCGTACGACCTCTGAGTGTTCTTTTTGTTGAATTTTCAGCACTAAGCCTGAAAAATTAAACATGATTTGGCAAAACTGTCAAACTACATAACAGCTTAGCATGTTTTCAAATGGACGTATTAATCCTGAAAGAAACTAAGTTACACGCAAACCCTATGCACAAAGTTCCTTTTAGCATAAACACGTCCAAATCCGAGCCGAATTCTGCCGGGAAAATTTTATGATACTTGTCATTCCCGCAGTTAAATCCATTCAGATTGCCTGTACCTACTTGAGGTGCAAATTGTGAAATTCAAACCCAGGATTCGAAAGTAAATACAACTTGATGATCAGGACAAAAATTTCGACCTCTTGCTTACAGGAATGCCAATAGGGATTAATGCTAGACATAGCTTCGTAAACGTTTCACTCGTTCATTTTTTATTTTAATACAGATAAACGTGTCCTAAAAAATCCTATTACTTCCGAAAATTTAGGTAGGAATTCACGAAACACAAGTATGATGTAGACGAAATCTTACCTCCTTTGTTCAATCCTCCTAATAAGGCTGCATCTCTCCAGTCACTGAAGTAGTTTTTGAAGACTGATGGTTCACCACCCTCAATTACCCTTGTAATCTGTCGAAAAAAGGGGCTCGAATTATGCGTTGAACAAAATTATGAAAAAATAATACTTAAGAAACAGAAAATGAAGACGACCTCTCACTTAATCTAAAAGTATCCCTCCAAAAATGTATTATTTTGCAATTCTCATGAGTCTTACCATCGGCTTTTGTGTCTTACTTTTACGTGTTTAGGTTCCTCTCAAGATTAATTTTTGACGATAGGCCCACATCAGGCCCCAAGTAGGTCCTCGGGAAAATTTTCTTGCTACGCCATTGTATATTCGTAGATTTTCACATCGAGAAGTGCACTATTTTGAAGAGAAAACATTTCATATCATAGCCTAAGCAGGAATTGCAATAAGTATCGGTTTTATCGATATGTCATTGAAAAAAATGTATTGAAACCTTATCGGAATCGAACATTGTGATGTACAGCGGTAAAATCGCAACTCACCGCTGCCAATTTTTGGCGATATCAAAGATGAAAAACTCGCATTTCTATCGATGATTTCGATCTTATTTTAACGCGATGAAAATTGCAACTTATCCATTGAAAACCGCTTCTCGAAAGGTTCGCATCTGTAACTTCGTCTATGTTCTATGAAAAGGTCTATAGCTGGAGCTTGGCAGTAGCGTAGCGTACTTTGCGATATATCGATCGATACGCCGCTCAAACCTATGAAAAAAGATCGATTATCAGGGTGTTCGCAGCGAACACCTTAGTAATCGATTCTTTACCATAGCTTCAAATGGCGAGATATCGATAATCGATCGTTCACGCCACGCCACTGAAGCTTGAAGGGAGTTGGCCAAAGCCTCTTGTTTTCTGAGAGGAATAATTATGAAGCTACAAATATGAAGTTATGGTAAGGAGGAAATCAAAGAAGGATACGATTGCTTGTGTAAGGAAAATTGCCGCCTCTTCGCGCCTTTCAGCTTTTCGTGTATGCAACAAAGTCAACCGGAGAGTAGGAATAGTTGCATTTAGACGTTAGGAGTTGCTATCAACGCATTCACACGTCCTTCTGTTAGTCTCAGTTCTCAATTTTCTTGTTGTCACTGATCCAAAGAATGAAAATGAATCGGACGGGGAACACTTACGGAGGTCCATGCTGGGTAGTTGTTAGAGGACAAAAAGACTTGAGCTTTTTTCAAGGCATCGACTTTTTCTTGAGTTGTGGAGCGTTTGCCAACCCATACGAAGATACCCGATGTCACAGTGTCAAGGATGAAAGAGTCCTGAAAATTTGAAAAAGAAAAGGTTTGGATCAGAACGACAGCGATACCTGTCTTGGTGAACTTAATATTTAAATTACATGTTAACCTGACGTCAAAGCTATATCTGGACTGCGTTAAACAGAAAGGAACCAAGCCACATCAGCTATTACCAAAATTAATTCGGCAATTTATTTTTTTACATGAAAACGGTTGTGTGGATTTTTCTGTAAATTTCAGTGGATTTTCTCCATAGTACGAAGCAAATTCCTCAACATTTTCGAAGAAATCCACACAAACGCTCTCTCGTAAAAAATGTAATTGCCTAGTTAAATTTGGCAATAGCCGATGTTGCTTGGTTCCTTTCTGTTTAACGCGGTCAATTTAACAATACGGCTCTAAAAATAAGATTCTGGGGCAGTAATTCCGATAAGGGTCAGGTAAAATAAAATCGCTACGATTGACTGAGAGCAGTTTCATCTTGTGAATTTTTGAATCCTTAAATTATGATTTTCCTTGGAGTTTAGGTACTCAGATTTTTTGTATAAGATACGTGAATAGTTTTAAGTTACTTAAGATTCGATTTATTTAGAGATTGCTAGAGCCGCTCAGGCACCGACAGATATCTATTTACATCAAAAGGAACTTCCATCGAATAATTTCTGAAAAAGCATTCGAGTCGGTTCAAAAATTCAGTTTTTTTAAACAGATTATTTTAATGCAGACGTTACCGGTGCGCTAAAACCAGAGACTAACCGGTTTTACACGGGCTGCTTTTACAATCATGCCGCATGACTAATACGTAAATGAAGAATACAGTGCATTGACATGGTTAGTGAAATGTTTGGAAAATGAGATTGCATTATCTAAGACTGTAACTCCCTTGTGTGGGATGGTGTGCTTACATCTGAGTTCAGCATTTTCTGGGTGAGTGGTTTTTCGCTAATCTTTTCTGAAACGACTTTTCCAGTAGAGTCCGAGATCTTGTAGAGAGTGACTGTTGCCTGCGGAAAAGCAACAATGAATATTATTAATTAATTCAATCATATCAGGGTCATATTATCTATATTTAAGAGCATACTTTATAGAATAGCAATAATAGCTTACTCTTTTCACCCGATTTAAATATGTTCAACAATTGTTCTTAGATTTGAAGTTAACAGGGAAGCATGGAGATTCCCTGACGGAACAAAATTGTACAAAATTGCGTACAAAATTGTCTGAACATTTTGGAAAATAACGTTCACAATTTTCTCAGTAAAATCGGTTTTTGTTGGAAGAAACTTGGCAACATCTGAAGGCTCATACGGCGTTCTTCCTTAGTACGGCAAATATTTGGGCCTTGTTTCTGATTTTTTCTCCTAAAACTCATTGCGAGTTCATGCCTCGCGCCATCGCGCCTTCAATTTTGTAGACGCAACACGGACATCCATCAAGCACGAATAGTTGTATCTCTGCGCCGTTGTCAACACGCGTCCTTTCCCTCGCTCTATTTCCATATCAGGTTTGTTTACTTTTGTCTTATTTGTAATGGTGCTTTAAGGGCTACGTGAGCAACAAATCCGAGAATAGGAGAGACGTGATCGGACCTCGTTCTTTAACTTTTCTCCTGAATCAGAGCAACATCTCATGGGGCGTTCATAAGTCATGTTACGCTCTTCTCCGGCATTTTTGACTCACCTTCCCATACTGGACTTAGTTTTTCAATTTCACGGTACTTTGTTGACAACCTATGTACCGTAGGGTTGATCCAAAACAAAACAAAAACAGTTTTTCAATAATACTAGGAATACAACTTGAAAGAAGATAAGCGTTTTCGCGGCAATTTTGAATCAGGAGCAGTGCAAAATTTAATAAGCTTTTTCTATTGTAAAGAAAACTTACGTCTTGTTTGTTCTCAAATTCTTGGTCATCTCCTCCGTAGTTCTCATCGGGTAGCTCGTTTAAGGAACCTCCACCAAGGACTTGGAAGAATTTCTTTACCTCTTCAGCTGTGGCAGAATCATCTAATAACAGAGGTGCATACAACTCGTTAAGACAGGTTATACCCGTTCTTTGGTGTTTATTTGATGTCCTCCGACATGCAATTTTCACACACGTTGTATTATAAATTTTTGTTCCTCCAAAAATTGGCACTTACCAACCTTTCAATCCTCCATGCAAAAATGTCAAAAAGCCAATCGTCAAAAGGTTGACGTGAGGTCAGCCTTTTCAGGGATCCATCATAAATGTGGAATTCAGGAACATGGAGGAATTCTTCCGTTATTTCAACGTATTTTTGCCATTGGACGCATTCCGAAAGATGATACGTCTGTCTTCATAGAGAATCCTTATTACTGGTAGCTTGCGTTTCTCGTAGTTTTTTTTATCATTTAAAACATGAGCTTATGTTTTAGACGCTTACTTATATCAAGGCACCACGATGCGGTCGTGGTATGTGTAAACCAAAATCCATTACTGTGAATGGAGTAAAAGGGATATACAGGAATTGTTGTTGTTTTATACATTGATTTATAGCTGTTTTAACAAAGCTGGGCCATTAATTCCTTCTACAGATAAGACATGTTCAGGTTCACCAGTTGGATAGACAAAAGAGCACCTACCCACGATTAAAACTTTGCTTCTGCCAGCATGATCCTGGTCTCTGATTTGGTTGGCAGCACTGATGGCCTTAAGGCGCTCCGTCCTCTTGGCCTTAGCTCCGACGAAAACGTAGATCTCGGTTCCCGCGTCCAGAATGAAACAGTCTCCTTTGTTCATTGAGGCCAAGCCCAAGTTCACCTGCAGAAAAGAGAGGGACAAAAATCAAGATAGGCAAAAACTACTTTAAAACAATTCATTTTGAAAGCGTTCAGCGCGAGATTTAAATGTAGGGAAACTCCTCTAACGCGAATATACCCATTCAGATTTTTTCACAATGATGCCATATCTAAACACCGAAAAAAAGGTGAAGTTGATTTAACATTTTGGATGTATAAAAAGAGTGCGAGAACTTACAAAATGCTGCATTTCCCGCCACAGAAGTTACTTCAGTAATGCCGAGATGTAAAACGAACTGCTACGGCAGTTAATTTCGTATTTTATAAGTTCTCGCACACTTTTTTAACATCCAGGATGTTAAATCAACTTCACTTATTTTTCGGTGAAATTTCGGGGGTCAGAAATCAACATTCGAATCCGAGGTCAATATTTTGGATGGATTGCCAAACCGGTAGATCAACCGAGAATCGTGGAAAACTTATTATTATGTAGTTCAATAACACCACACAAGAATATGAGTGGTCGATGAAGTCGATCGTCAAAATTATCGCACACCCTGTCAAAACAGTCCCATATAGGCCCATGAGATTCCGATGGGTCCCCGTAGGGACTTCATGGGGATCCCTGATTGGAACCCATGGGGTGAATGAAGAGATCAGCAGGAGCCCATAGGACAGCCAGAGTGACCTAAGAGGTCCTGGTTTTATCGAACCGCAACGTAATAAAATTCGCCTGAAAAACTTCCACATGTGTATTTACAAATTGCGGCACGAGTAGTGTTTCAATATTATGCCACGGAATATTATTTTTGTTATTTTTAGGAAAGAGAGGGAGGGGGGGGGGTTCAAAGACGGCGGATACTGAATTTAGGACACAAATCTAATGAACATTTTCGAGAAACAATACCCGATTTATGGGCCATAAATTGAAAATAGAGTTCATGAAACCGCGAAAATCAAAATGGATGTACCGAAATATCTCACCGAGTGGGAGAACCAACGTTCAGCGCGGCATGTGGCGGTTCTAATTCGATTCGCGTCGCTTTGTGCGTGACACTGTTGCCTGTTTGACGGGAAATTATGCGGCGTCCACGTTTCACAAAGCGAGGAAATTTCGAGATTTTTGCACGTATGGCAAGTGCGTGTGTGTAGGAGAAATGCTATTCGTCTCGAAGCGTTAAATGGCACAGTGACTCCAGCGTTAGAGGAAAACTCCGTCCTCTCACAATGCATTGTTATCCAAACAAGATGAAAACACCGTGATTCTGCAGTAAAATCGGCGGGTAATCATGTCATTTAGTCTGACGCTACTCTGCGACAATTGACACAATTTGACGTATTAGTACGCGTTAGATGACGTTGAAAGAGGAAAAAGTAACACACGGCATGAATACGATGAGATCACTCACTCCTTTCAATTTTTAAGAAATCTCGATCCCGGTCAAGTTGACACGTTTTCCAGACAATTTTTAGCTTGAAACTTGACTAGCTTGAGGCTGAACTTATTGTGGGAAATGAGCATGCTTCTTTAATATNAGGAGGAGGAAAAGGAGGAGGAGGAGGAAAAGGAGGAGGAGGAGGAAAAGGAAGAGAAGAAGAAGAGGGGAAGAAGAAGAAGGACGTACAGATACAGTTACTTGTGTTTACGCACTAATCATCACTGACTGATAAGGACAAAGTGGATCAAACTATGTAATGCACCAACGTGATAGATGACGTCACCAATCGCGTTTTCGATCGGCGATATTTTCGTTCAATATTGGATAGAGGAATCTAACACTTAGGCAGAATCAATTAGCTGCTAATCTATGAGATCATTGCCATAACATTGTCCTTCGAAAGCCAACTATCTTGAATCTTGTGTATTCTTGTGTGTCATGTGACAAAAGCATGACAAAATAAGTTGATGGAGTCACACACGTACTTGGCGTATTCTGATGTTGCGTTTTCCTTTGACTTGGTATAATTTCTTCTCTCCGGCGGCGTTGGTTTCAGCGTGTTTGAAACCGGAAGCAACTCCTCCTGGTAAGTACCTAACACCTGAAAATAGGTAAAAATGGGGAATCTGGGTAAGTAACAACTCTAATCATTAGCTAAAAATCTCTCTAATCCATGAAACAGAACTTTTCATTTGTTATTTTATAATTATAGGGATCCTGTTGTAAACGAACGAGATGAGGTATCATTGATGACCCTTCAAATGACCCCCCAACAATGACAGAAATCAGGATTGTAACTATAAAGCCGTTTTTTATGTTGATTAGTCTGAACATGGGGTCATTGGAAAATTTTTCAGCTTTACAAAAAGTAGGTCACTACAATTACATTAATTCGCATCGATTGACGAAATTAGTTGGAAGTGAGTCGATTAGGTTTTTACGATGGGTAGCTTTCAGCGAATATTAATTTTTGCTCAAAACTAGGGATAATCTCTATTAAGTTCGTGCTCATTTTTGAATACTGACCTGATTTGAAGTATGATAAGAAAAGTTGAGTTTCGTGTTCTTGCACCTCCCGATGCTGCACAGGGCCTCCTCCGAGGTAGTCATCCAGCTCGACGGACAAGATGGCGGCAGCCCCGGACTCATCCTGATTAAAAATTCAGAGAATTTAATACTTTTTTGTAAAGAATGCACCGAAAAAACACTTAGGGTGCAATAATGAGACGGTTGTAAGCGCAAGGAGCGTTTTAGTTTTAGAAAAAAAATCTATCAGCGCTTAGAACAGTGCGACGCAAGTAGAAACGCCTTGATGCAACGATTTGTGCTCTAGAGACGTCTGCGTTGCATACACAACAAAATGAAGGAGTTTCGGGATTCCTTGTTCACGTACAGATATAACGACGGCCCGCACTTCTCTCACCACAAATCCCGTTTTTGGCTGAATGGCTCACTATTTCTTGATAACCTGCGTTAGTAGGTAAAGAGCTGATTAAGTTTATGCAATAACTGGAATTTCGCACTTTACATAATTATTATTTCTTTTAAAAAAACACCGATGAGGCGGTATGTTTCTGCAACTGTCTGAGATTAATATGAAAATCAACAAAAACTTTCGCTATATCACATAACTTTCCCACTGAGTTTGCTAAACAAACTGCTCAACACATTGTTAATGAATGATATTTATTTCAATTGAACTCCTCTTCACATCGATTAAAAAACTACATTGATTATACGTCGATATTATTACCTGTGAAGTTTGGTTACCAAGCCAGTAATGGATGTCCCAAGTGAATTTGCCTTTTGATGATGTGTCCTCTTTGGTCTGAAAAAGAAAGAGAACATTGGATCTAATGCAATAATGGTTACAGCTCAGTGGGTAAATCTGAGCCTGCTGCGTTGTGATACGTCTGGGGAAAATGTAGGAAATCAATTTTCTCCAAAAGAATCATTCTCAAATGCAAGTTACAGACGTCCCTTCAGTCTTAAATGGGAGGATAATGTTGGCCTTAAGAGTATTTAAGGTTAAAATAGGTTTCCACCAAATTTGAAATGTAATAAATGTGTACCTACGTTTTAAACATTAAAGAGACGGACCAGCAAAACTTAAAAGATTCATGATGGAATTTTTTATCAAATCGATTAATTAACAAGCGGTTTTTCAGAACTGGATCAAGAGTGGCGGTAGCCACCCCCGGTCGAGGAAAATGACGACCTACCACAGTCCCGAAAGCAAAGTGGTGGCCGACACGCTTAGACATACACACGTAATTATAGATTACTTTTGACATCGTTCAAATAAAATCAAATTCACAATAAGTCTACTTTGATGTATTCAAAATCACAGATTTAAACTTTACTGAGATAATCACGATCAGGGCCGGATTAAGGGGGTGGCCACATGGGCCGCGGCCCGTGGTGGCAAATCTACGGGGCGGCAAATTATGCATTTTTTTTAGATTTACTAATAAAAAAAATCGGATTTAGAAAAAAAAATTACTAGAATTGGCTACAAAATCTATCATTTCCTGAGAATATAGTAATTCCTAATTTTGTCGTCTTTCAGTGATACAAGAGACAGCACCTTTAATTAGTCGAGTTAAGAGAGAAACCGAACACACAATTTGGCCTGGAACGGCGCGACTTAGGGAGAGATGATGACGAGGATTTGAGATGAAAAAGAGAAGCCCTCGGCACGGCAGTCGGCATGTAACACATATTAGCGCCTGCAAGACTACACGAATACTTCGCGCATTGCGCCAAACACAGTGCGGTCAGCGTGAAACGCATAGCGCCTACAAGACTGCGTGAATACTTCACGCATTGCGCCAAACACGGTGCGGTCGGCGCGGCGCGGCGGCGGAAGTTGAAATCATTAAACCAAATTTTGTGTTTGTTCTTTCATAATTTTTTCATTCATTTCTTAAGAATGGAAGGCCTTTTCCATTAGAGATGAGTTTACGAAGCTTGACTTTACCGCAAAGTTCCGTGACCTTTTGCTAGTAGTGTTGACAGGGCTTTCCCAATAAATGTCTTCAACACGATTAAACGCGTCTTATGCACCCCTCCCCCGCTGGCACGTTCACTTGATGGTTTTTATTGATGTTTCAAAACGAATGAGAAGGGAACGGCAAAATACAGGCGGCCCATGGGCGGCAAGAGGGAAAATCTGGCCCTGATCACGATTAGTTCTGCCTGGATGGGTGCGTGAACGCACAATTTTTTTTGTGAATTTGATACGAAACCATCATTGACGCGCCAGAATATGTGCATGCAAAATTTTACGTAGTAAAAGAAACAAACATAAAAAAGAGGCTCAGCAAAGGAGCAATAATGGAATAAATCACACTTACATTCAGGACAATGTAGGAGTCCCCAGAGTAGAATTTTCCGTAGTCTTTTGGTGGGTATGGAACTGGTTCGAAATTCTGCAAAATGAGTAAAAAAATAATGTAATCGTGCTCAACAAAACGTTTTTCGCACATTCACAATATTATACCCGAAGTAATTTGGTTGTATGCATATGTTTTTGAGTCAAATGCGGGAGTATAGGTATAGATTTCAATTTCCGACAAATTCAGCCGGAAACACGATACCTCTGGGACGCTAAACTCATTATTTGATCATCTATATAAAATGATGAATAAATGAGGAAATTTTCTCTTCCCATTCCTCCCCATATCATTATGAGGGAAGCTGATACCAATGAGAAGAATCAAAACTTCCTTCAAAGAGAGTTTCGTTTTAGGTTCACGCCGTTTGATATAATCTACCATAGTCGATCGCAAAAATTCGCCTAGTGATTTACCGACAGTTTACGAACAAGGCTGGTCCAAGAGGTTGGAAATCTGGCGCGAATGCCTAGCCCTAGTTTGATACGTTTTTAATCGGGCTCTCTTTTTGTTTTATCACACGGGCGCGGGCCCGCATGGAAGTAATCAGACCATAGAAGTGTAATTATGATCCAGTCACAGGCACGGATTCTGCAGAACGTCGGACAAAGGGAACATAAGAAGTTCTAGCTGAAAAATAGGCTTTCCGCAGCCCAAAGAAACTATCCAAAGAATTCTCAGAACTTCAACTTGGGCACGTTATAAATCATATTGATCTATAAAATCCGAAAATTGTTTAACGTTGGGGGCGGCTGATTTGAATGCGGTGATCTGGCCGTTGGGGTTAGGATTTTTCAATTTTTATTTATGATAAACAGTAACAATGACACCCAAAAAAAAGTTTTTAACCGAGAACTGGCAGCTGTAAATCCACCCTCTTCTTACTGGGAGGAACTTTCACCACGACGACAACCCTGAAATCGCAAAACGCCGCATGCTGCGACACTTAGACAGGCGTCAAGATGTCGCGCCGTTCATGCAACCCCCTCCTTGTGACTTTTGCGGATCATGTGTTTTCATTTTTTACCCTCACATAAAACATGATTCAGCTACTATGTCTAAATGGAAACTTTATTGTTATTGACAAATTCCGACAGCGCGCATATAGCTAGTAGCTAAATAATAACAAAACAAAAAAGGGTACCCATCTTTAATTGCGAAATTGCACATCTCCGGTCAAGAGTTTTTCTTTTCTTTTTCTTTTTTTAAAATTTTCTGTGAAATTTTCTCGCTCATTCAAAAATAGTCACCAGAATTTAGACAAAGAGAGACACTTCGATTCGATTAATTCAATGAGAGTAAAACATATTTGAAGATTTTGAAACGTTGCAATGGAGATACATGTTATTTTTTACTTTAGCAATCGATATTCTCATCTAAAGATCAGGATCCAGCAGATTTTAAATTTGATCCAGAATTCTCGTTAAAATACAAGAGTATTCGGCGATTCCATATGAATACTAAACCTAATTTTCAAAATGAAAACCGAATTTGTAACATTTTATAAAAATTGAAGGTTACTCAACATCTATATGAATTAACTTCTTTCATGATTTTTTCTAATGTTTCTAGTTTCAACGGCACTAAAAATAATATAATCAGCCATGTATTCCTTTACAGAAATGTTTACGAGCTAGCTGTCATCATTGGTGAAAACCAATGTTTCGTCGACATATTTAAGTAACGCATGAAGGGCCCCTAGTAAGTAGGAGAGAATCTATTCCAAGTTGCCATACATTATCGTGCAACATTTATCTGTTACACTGCTCAAAGGGAGCGAGGAAAAACCATAAATCGGTATGAACTGGGAACACCGCTGAGATACGAGCAGAAAACGTCAGAAAAAATTTTTCACACTTTTCAATCTTCACTCACATGCTGTAGTACACGCAACGCTTCTCATTTTTAACCCAGAACAAATCGGATGAAAAATAAGCGTATTGAAGGATCCATCCCGAAAGAGACGTGAGAACATCCAACGTGTTCCCTTCGTATGACGAGAGACATGTCGATGGCTAAAGTGCGAAACCACGTAACTCGGTTTGCGAGGTTGCAGAATTCCGGCCATGCTTCATTTTTTCTCCCGGTTCTCGGGAAAGAAAATCAAATAGGAGTGGGAATTTTAAAACACTGCTATGGAGATACATGCTTTCGCACTTTTGCCGTCGAAGTTTCCTCGCCCCTGTAACATCTAATCAACCATGTTTACACTCCAAATATAGAGCGATTTCGATGTATGATGACTGAGGATTTGAAACTCTTAACCGAGCTCTTAATATTCCATACACGATCTAGCCCTCGAGAATTCTGTCAGTCCCTATCGACACGAGGTATCTCGTCGCCTCTGTAACTTTCGGGCGCAACTAGATTTTCCCACGAGCCCCAGAAAGCATGGGTTCTTATGAAAAACAGGGCCAACGTGGAAATTGAGACACGTCATTACGTCAGAGAGGCGAGGAATTTTGAACGTGCAATATTTGGCACCAGCAATTCGTTTTTATATGTGACATGCTGGGTTTTTTCTGCGAATCCCTCACATGGAGTTGGTAAAATTAGACGAATCCGTGCGGGTCTTATGCGCGGAAGTGCCGGAAACGAAAAATTCAACATCTCGTCGTAGAATAGAGCGACTCAAAGGGGGGACTGAAAAAATCCTGTTATCCCGATGCGATGTTTTGAAATTGCTCGTTCTGACCTCAGTATTTCAGGAAGATTGACGAAGTCGGTAATTTTGCATAAAAAATTCTGATGATACTCTCACGAGTATTGAGTAAAATTTTCAAGAGATGAACTGTACTACAAATAACGTGCGTATACAGATTTGGATTTGATGGATCCTAAACCTGGCAACGGTGTCAAAACACTGTATTTATGTTTGATTCAAATTCGCAATTCGTCGGTTTTTAAGGAACTGCTTTCAAACCCCTGGTAAAAATTGGCAGTAGAATCTGTGTTCCAAAATACCATAGACCTAAAGCCGGTTGTAAGATTTTCAACAGCTTCTGTAGCCGGCTGTACAATTTCTTATGGTCTTTTATAGCCCACGGCGATTGAGCAACAGCCAGACGATAAAGTTTATGCTAAACGTTATTAAATACGAATAGGACTTAGTTAGTTTTTGGACTACCGCTCTCTTTTTGTGCCATAGTATCTTGATTTATTTTGCAAGGAAAGTTCCGTACTTTTGAAGGATGCCTGCCAGTCCTAATATATTAGAGCGCCTTCAATTTCTTATGATACTGTGCAATACCTCTGGTGTGAAATAGTTGCTTCAGACGCCGTGGCACGCTGCGGCGCGGCGGGCGGGCAGAGAGTGCGAAACGCGCATTGGCGCCTACAAACCTAACAGGGATAGGCGGATTAATGCGTGAAGTATCCCTGTTAGGTTTGTAGGCGTTAGTGCGTCGCCGCTCCGCTTTGTGTTAGGCTCCAGTATTTAATCCCGCGGAGTCAGCGTTTTTCAACTCATGATTTTGAGATGTTTGCACACTCTGTATGGATTATTCTCATTTTAATTGACGAAAAAAAATATGTTTTAAAGGAAAATATAATGTGTGTTTTGTACCTATAGCCCGACTGTATACTTTTTTATAGCTTCATATAGCCCGGCTATATGATTTGCTCCGCTTTCTACAGCCAGCTATATGATTTTCAATAGCCTTCTTTAGTCGGCTATAAGAACTCCTATGGTATTTTGAAACGCAGCTTCTATCGCCAATTTTTACCAGGGAGGGTCATTAATGAAATTCTTGTGATTTCATAGCGCCAAAATGATGCAGAATTAACCTATCTCAACCACGATATCTGGGTATCGCAATCTCAGTCTATGTTTTCTCCTCTTTAGTGCTTCCTAAATATTTCTGATTTCCCTTACAAGATTTTCCTCACTTATTGCTTGCAACCACTACAGCTGCTTATGTTGTAAATGAATCGTTCTCTATGTGGTATCCATGCCAATAGACACGACAATGCAGACGTAAAAATAAGAGACAAGCCCAACATAGCGGTCAGCTGCTAGGCTGCAATCAGCATCTCAGGTCTAGTTTTTCTTGGATTTGCACCATTATTTTTCACAGTTTGCGGCTCCGGGTTTTATCAACAGGCCAATCGTCTCGCGGAAAGTGAATGACCTCTCCAACGCCCCCCCTCCCCCTCACACCTCTGGAGCCCACCTCGCGGCAAATCGTCTCGTTGGCACCACACTAATATATTTTGTTAATTGGAGTGTGGCTAGCTCGTGCTCTACATACGCTTTGCTTTTAATGTACACCGCATGTTGTGCGTTTTTGACGAGAAAAATGAAGCCGCGAGATCTTCAAAGAAAATAAATAGCCGAGATGTTAACCTGCTCTGATGAGTGACAATTTTACGTTGAAATTTTGCTCGTATAGTTGACGGTCGTAAACGAGAGCGAATCGATTTTATTTGGCGAAGGGTCTTCAGGTGTTAATCTCCCGCATCAATCATCTTGCGGCGTTGTAAACGAAGCAACAGGATTTTCTAATGAAAAAAATGCGAATTTAAAAAAAAAAATTTTTTTGCCTATTCACTTGCACATCTGTTTTTCTTATGGAACGCGTTTGGGAGTTAAGACTCCATTCTCAGTCGGCATTGCACCCAGATGAACTCAGCGAACTTGAAGATGGAGTCATAGCTCCGAGATACGTCCCGTAAGAAAAAAACCGATGTGCAAGTGGGAGTACGCAAATTTTTTTCTTTTTTTTTCAAAATTTTCATTCATTTCATTAATTTGACTTGTATGTGGTGAAGACCCCGGGTAAAGTTTTTTCATTAAAGATCTCCTAGTCAGAGGCGAGGCGTAAATGATCGATTATCGATTTTTCCCCCATTGAAGCTGTGGTGAAGAATCGATTGTTAAGGTGTTCGTTGCGAACACCCTGTTCATCGATCCTTACCCATAGGTTTAAATGGTAGATCAATCGATGTATTGCATCGTGCGCCACGCCACTGCTCCTAGTTCCATCAGCAGCGATGTATTCGGCAACTGCGGAAGGAAAAAGCATTATATCCGGACGCGAGCCGCAACGCAAGGTCGCGTAACGCGCAGGGTTGCCACCTAGGTCACTTGTGCCACTTTTCTTACGGAAGGTGTAACGGAATACGGGGCGGTTTTGGACAATATTGGCTCCGCCGCTGCTAGGACGGTGGTGGCAGGAGGTAATCACTATGAATCATCATCACCGGCATGTCTGTGTGTTTATGTCTCGTCTACTTATTCCCGCTTTTTACACTAACAAACGCGGCGAGAAATCGGACGGACCCCCAGGGGCCCCGCCGAGTGCAATACCTGAAGTTATTCCCCAAAATTAATGTTTTACAGAGCCGCGCAAAATGCAACACCGAAAGCTATTTTCCCTAAAATTAATGCTTTACAGAAACACTTTGAAGCGTTCTGTATACAGAGATTTGGCTACACACTTGTGGATCAAGTTCTTATGTGCTAAAAATCGAATCTGCAAAAGAGCGAGGATACGCTTCTTGAATTTTTAGTTTATTGTACTTATGTGCAATTTTGGCAAAAGCTATACGCGGTGCCCTTAGTTGTGGTCTGAAAACAACTCCCGAGCGCGCAAAGCTGTAAGTTGCAACTATACAAAAACCTCTAGAATTTAGACTCTAAAAGTAGAAAATAACTCATAAAATGTGATGGAGTGAAACAAAATGTGGGTAACTCAGGGTGAGAACGGGGCAAATAAGAAATCAGGCGGTTGGAATCTGAAACCAAAGGTACGCGTATTACTTCGGCATATCCAGAATGGAATGACCTCATTTTCATCTTTGATCTCGTTTCTTGCTACATTAAAAAGCAAAAACAAGGGAAGATAATCAGTGTCGACTGTCACGAGATCTAAGGGCGTCAAACTGGTGGTAGCCGCTATAGCGCCAAAACTGTGAATCCCGGCCGTGAGTGTTGATTTAAATTTTCAGGTCGACAATAAGATCGATTTATGGCGGAAAAAGAAAACAACAGGAATGTGTTTCCGATGCTTAACACCTTTTCGCAAACTCTAAAAAAACCCTTAACGTTTAGAAGCCATTATTCGTAGCCACTATGAGTAGTAATATGTATTCAGCGTAGAAATCCACCTTTTTTTTTTTGATGAATTCTAGCAAAGGAAGCTATTATCTCTCTAAAAGTTACGGTCTCAGTGTTCCAACTTCACCGGAAACACTGACTATCTAAAACCTAGAAGAAGAAGTTTTATCGATCAACGAGCCTACAACAAATGAGTAAGCACTAAGCTATGGAACTGTGCGGCCTCCGCAGCCACGCTAGGAAGTATTTCTCACATTGAAGGCGTTTCTCATGCGTCGTCATTTCTTATCAAATAGCTATCTCGAGCAGTCGCATTTGCTACACTGTTGATTTCGCTTTCAAATGATGCAACTATTCGGCCTCTGAGGCCACGCTAGGAAGTATCTATTCATGATGAAGGCGTCTCTAATGCGTAGATTTATGTACAAACTTTGGAAATGTTGAAAGCATTGGAATGTCATCACATATTAAAACTTTGTACTTCATCGTGCAAATTTGTTCAGAGGGAGCCTGCTCCGTGTCTTTAAAACTAGTTTACTCTGATAATACGTAATTAGTAATAGATAGTAATTCTCTGATTGCGTCCCTGATACCCACCTATTACTGAAAATTGACTGATGACTCTCATTTGCAGCTCCTAATTTTAGTGTGTGACTTCGGTATCATAATATCCACCCAAAATTTATCGCCTTTTTCCTACCTTTTTCCATTTCTTTTCTCTCATTCTCAAATATTTGCTACCGACAACAACTGAGGGAAGCGTAATGATGAGAAATTTGTTTTAACAATTTGCTCAATAGAATTAAATTATCTTGAATGATTATTAGGAAAACGAGGCAGTTAAGTATTATACTGTAGACGATTTAAGCTAGTGATTTTGTTGGATTTATAGGTCGCAGAAGAAATCGCTGACTGCAATTTTAGTAATTAGTACTGGCCGAACGATCACAAATCCATAATAAGTAATGATGTTGTCACATGATTTGCATCCGTGATTTAATAGCTCCTCTCCAAGTATTGTCAATAATTAACCCAGTTTGACCAAAAAATTGTAAATTACAGGGCAAGTGTTGAGAGAAAGTGAAAAGTAGCAGCCACTTTGAAACGATTTCAATAGATCATCGTGGTACCAATTAACCAAGAAACTCTAGAAATGATTCTTGAGAATTTTGTTATTTTTTATATTATGTTAAATTTTTGAATCAACTTTCATATTCCCCGCAAACCAAGGAGCTTCTAGCCTCAGGATTGGATGGTACGATTTATGTTCAGTTTGGAACCGACCAAGTTGACAAATAGTAAACCCTTAGTCAAAACTCTCGACGCAATTTTTGGGACTTACCAATTTTTCGAAAAAATCCCTGAAGCAATTTTCAAAACCCCAAGACTCTGATAATCTTGTATATTTTTTGAAAAACTACCAGAATCTGCTCTGATGGAACACGTCAAAGCCGATTTTTCAAATTTTGACGTAAGGTCTCTTTTTCTCAGATCGTATCAACATTTTCATAAGGTTCATAAGTATCACTAACTCTTTTTGAAGAAAACCCGCCAAAGAAGGTTCAAATGTTGGAATTAAGAGACCCTCCAAGGAATTTATTCCCTAGAATGTACGTCTAATTTGCATATTAAAAAATGTATGAAAAATGTTTCAATCTGATTTTTTTTAAATTTTTTTTTAAAAAAAATTGTTTAAATTTTAAACGCAAAATGAAATGACTACATGCAACATGAAACACTAGAGTCAAAATGCAAAAAAAACGGAAAATCACAAAAAAAAAAAACATTTTTGAGAGAAGAAAGCACTTTTTGAAGAGGCATTTTGCATAAAAAAAAGAAAAAAAGAGAAAGTTTTCTAGTTGGTATCATTTCAAAAATTTGTTTACGAATTATTTTTTGCAATTTACAAATTCCCTCACGCACAGGTTAAGCGTTACTGCCAAAGGAATTGACATTAGAGAACAAAGTACACAGGAAAATCCAAATTGAACGATACAAACACATAAACAAATTGGTAAATAAGGCTCAATTTGTAGACGGAATTTTTAGTACATTCCAAGTTGATCTTAACCCTTTCATCGACCAGAGGAACGCAACAATGATGTATTAAAACTTATTGGATCAAATGTCAAATGATGATGATCTGCTGTCACCAAAATAGGGTCCAACTTTTCATTTTCATGCAATTTATTTTGTTATTTTTAGTATCGTAATTGATAAAGCGTGATACTATCCCGAAACGTCCCAGAAATGTTGTTGTCAATTTTTTTTGGGCCTTCGATACCCATTCTTCTGCGTTCTTTTTTCCCCCACTAGAGTTTGTTTATCTATAGAACCCGGTAAGAATGCGAGAAGGTTTCATACCTCGATTCTCCAGATGCGAAGGCCGGCCTGTTTGCCGGCGGATCCGAAAGCGGGATGCATGACGATGGGTCGGTTGGTAGTGGCGGCCGAGCACTGACTGAACAGTGCCGCGCCGAATGTCAACACCAGCGCCAATGCCGCCAACCTCCCAAACGAGTCGAGACCGCTTGACGTCATCGCAGCCTCTCTGCCTCTGCCTCTGCCTCTGAAACCAAACGGGAGCAGACCATCATGAGTCATGAGTCATCCGAGGTCCTGAGTCATCCACCCCGAAAATCAAGGTCTGGTCGAGAGAGATTTCCCATGACGCTCATCCGGAGGACTACATCCTGGTGACCGATTGTGAAATTTCGTCTTATTCCGTTGGACAAGACATGACTGTAGCAGAGAACTTTAAGGCAAGTAACTTATGTCGTGGTCTCTCCCTCGAGATCTTCAAAGCTTAGGACTGATTGTTGAAATTGATAGACAAAGCAATAGACAAAAGAGACATCAGACAGTGGCGTGGCGTGTATTGCGATGTATCGATTGGTGTGCCTTTTAAACCTATGGAAAAGGATCGATAAACAGGGTGTTCGCAGCGAACACCTTATAAATCGATTCTTTACCATAGGTTTAAATGTCGTAACAATTGATACATCGCTATTCACGCCACGCCACGCCACTGACATAAGGAGTATGGAGCGATCCCATTGGTTGCAATGGGTGGTTCTTATGGACTAAGGGAGAAAATGATGGACTAACTCTAGGGCCTCTTGTGGGCTGCCGTTAGTTATTCTATTACCTACCTCCGTTGTCTATTGCAACCAACCGCTTCCACCATAGGATCCCTTAATATCCTCCTCGTCTTTTTTGTCTATCGTTTTGTTTATCAATTTTTACAATCAGCCCGCTGAAGGCTATTCTTGTAATTTGTGTAAGGACTCCTAAGTCGTCGCATTTCTCAGAGAGGAAACGGAGGAGGTTAACAGACTTTTGAAAGTCAAGGTCTAAGTGTATTTATTTTCCGTCGGGTAAATCTCAAGGTCAGCATTGCCCAGAAGGTCAAAAAAAAATTTCGTTTCAACAGGTTAGTAAAGGCGTTTTTGTTCAGACTTTCTCCGATACAACGAAGAGGGTGACCCCAGACCTCAGCTCCAGTGGCCCGCTGGTTGTCTTTCGTTAGCCTTTAGGAAATGCGATTGCTTTGAATGTACTTGCATAAATTTAAAAAAGGTAGTTTTAAGTTTCATACGGAACCACCTTAATATTTACGAAACACACGTTATATTTTCCTTTAATACATTTTTTTTTTCATCAATTAAAACGAGAATAGTCCATACAGGATGTGCAAATATTTCAAAATCATGAGTTGAATAACGCTGACTCCGCCAGATTAAATATTAGAACCTAACACAAAGCGGAGCGGCGACGCACTGGCGCCTACAAACCTAACAGGGATACTTCACGCATTGCGCAACGCGTGAAGTATCCCTGTTAGGTTTGTAGGCACCAATGCGCGTTTCGCGCTGGCTGCCCGCCTGCCACACCGCAGCGGCAGCGTGCCACGGCGCTTGAAGCAACTATTTCACACCAGAGGTATTGCACAGTATCGTACGAAATTGAAGGCGCTCTAATATATTAGGAATGTCAGGCATCCATCAAAAGTACGGAGCTTTCCTCGCAAAATAAATCAAGATACTACGGCCCAAAAAGAGAGCAGTGGTCCAAAAACTCCCTAAGTCCTAGCATCAATAATTAGTGACATTTAGCATACACTTTATCGCCTGGCTGTGAGTTGCTTAGTCGCCATTGGTCGCCATCGGCTATAAAAGGCTATAAGAAATTGTATAGACGGCTATAGAAGCTATTGGAAATCTTACAGCCGGCCATAGGTCTACGGTATTTTGGAACACAGATTCTACTGCCAATTTTTACCAGGGAAGAAATGCATAAAAAAGTGAATTTTCCATAATATTTTCTCGTCTGAATTTTCCAATTGCAAAGCTCTCTGACGAAAGAGCCTCATCCAATTTTTTTGAGTCTCGTATTTCTGACTTAAAAAATCCCTATCCTCTTTTAGATTTCCTTATCAGTCCCACCCGTTATTGCTATGTTCTCATTTCTTGGAAAGTGGTTATTGATTCTACCAAGAGATAAAAAACAGAGGAGTCGCAGGAGTGGCATAAGTGCATGATGAATTTACAGATTCATGTCATCTTTTATCTCTTATCAAAGTAGGCACTGCAAATTTTACCGCAATGATAAGACTCAATGCCAGTTGAGAAGTTTCACTGAAATTTCTGTAGATATGCAGTTAAGTGACATTTTTGGAGTAAAAAAGAAGAGAAAAAAATTGAAAGAAAAATTCTTGCCCCTGAAGTAAAACCTTTCATTCTTTCTTTAGTTGAGCACGGTGAATCAAATTTGATTTCGGGACTCATCATTCGTTTATGGATAATAAGCGTAAAGTATCATCATTATTACACAAAACATACCGCACAAATGTTTAGCTAAAAGTTTATTGCTCTTTCGTAATTGAAAATAAAATTTGGAGAGTAGCCATTACTATCTCAAGAAAAACCACTTACGGGAGGAAAATTTATTGGCCACAAAACAAACGCGAAAGCTATCAACTGTTTCAAGTTCAATTTATTAGACCATATTACCTCTCTTGTAGCTTATTCACCTTAAGCCTCGCGTTAATTAAGGTTTGGGGGCCAGATATGTCATTCCCAGATCAAAATATTAGCATAGGAAATGAGAGGGCAATCAGACGGATCCATGAGTTCCTTCAATTAGGCAGGTATGCAATACGCATTCCTAGAAGCTGCAATAGTGGTATGCAAGTTAACGGCGCTTTGAGTAAGACGCCGAGATGGCGAGGGGACATTCTTTCACGTTGCTTCCCATTAAATATTTTCCGAACTGTTAACCGGTAGATCGTGCATCGATATAAATGTTTGTTTTTATAAATTTTCGCTCTGATTTTATCTCCTTGCGCTGGAACAAATTATTGTTGGTCGCCATCTAGTATGAGGAGTCAAATTAAAGAGCATCTGAGTGCAGAATGTTGATGGAGACTTTAGCTTTCCATGGGTAGATTTGACTTTTGGGTTTTTTGTATTATGGAGACTGGGTATTGGTGAAATTATTGCTTAAGTCGTTGCACCACTGTACTGCCGTGCCAAGGAAGAACGCCGTATGAACATTTGAGAGTTGCCAAATTTCCTTGGATAAAATATTTATTTTTCAGGAAAGTTATGAATATTTTTCCTTGAAATTTTCAGGAATTTTCGGTAAACTTGCGAGCAAAATTACCTAAAAAATTGGACGGAAAATATTCATAAATTTACCAGGAAATTCGTGCTTTATCAAAGGAAATTTAGCAACGCCTGGAGGTTCATACGGCGTTTTTCCTTAGTGCGGCAGTGTAGCCAAGCTCAACACAGCCGAGAAGATGCATAGTTCTGTCAAACGGAACGAACGACACGTCAAAGAACATTATATCGCGATGTCCCTTGGCGGAAATATAGTTTTTTCCCTGCAATTTTTACAAATATACATAAACATTTGCCTAACAGTGCTGCTTTTGCGAGATCTAAGCCTGTCCAATACTTCAATTTCGTACTTTGCGTCTTCTGACCTGAAAAATACCCCGATTATTTTTTATTTATTTTTTTGATACATTTTTTTAAAAGAATAAAGTGGTCAATTCTAGAAAATTATTGTCCTATGAAATTAAAATTCCTGAAGAAATCATACACCTGTTCATCAGCTTGCATCAATATATAGACATATTAGTGGCAGCATTGCATTTCACATTTTAACTTGTAGTGCAAGTGATATGGTCAGGCAAAATAGGACTTCAGATGGATGGTCAAATGTTAGTATAGAGCACGCTCGCTGATTCGAAATTCAAGGGACCAAGGCTTTTTTTCGAATTAAAGGGTTTTGAGGAAATTAGCGAGATGTCGAATTACAAAGAGCGGTGGCAAATACTTTCGAATTAAAGAGAAGTGTACATTAACTCTATAATCCAAAGTGGTGGTACGTATATCGGGAAAAGCCGATTGGGGTAAAAAATCGATTTTTAATTTTCGATTCTAAACCCTTTCAAACACTGGGTGTCGATTCCACGTCATAATTTCTATTTTAAGTAATGTTAAAAGTAGCAGCATAGCGCCGGCAAACAAACTGCTTTTTTATGAATTTCGTAATTTTGTTTTCTCTCATTTTTGGACTCTCTCAAGGCTCAATATTTGGATGTTCTTTACGCCAAATGACATGACCCTATAAGCTTCCAAATAGTTATCTCATTGTTCATGACCTTACCTGTAAGTCCAACTTTGCCTGACTCTCACAGATATTTGTCAAAACTGCTGAAACCCAAGTTTTTATTAAGGTATACAACACTGGAAAAAAAAACACATTGGATCTAGAGTCCAGACTCTTGGAAACATTGACAAGAAAAAATACTCTTGATTCAATCAGATTTAAGCTTAAATCAAAAGGAAATCCGCTCAAATTAAGAGGCTTGGTTCTTGATTTAAGCAAAAATCCGATTGAATCAAGAGTATTTTTTCTTGTCGATGTTTTAAAAATCTGGACTCTAGATCCAATGTGTGTTTTTTTTCCAGTGAAATAACTCTATTATGATTTCCTCATGATTACTAACAGTTCCCATTACAACAGTTAGTATCTCGAGCAGAACGCAGGAAATGAATGAAGCTTTAAGGCCGCGGGCTGGAGATTTCGCGACCCGTTGACGTCAGTCATTCCTGTCAGATAAATCAACGTAAGACGCTAGGCAACGACGTCAGACTGCATAAAAATTGGCCTCCTTTCCCTCCGACTCCGTAGATGATAAGCAATATTTTGGAACGCGATTTGGCAACTTCTCGGTGCGTTGAGACTGGTCGGCTTCATCAGTGCTGCAGTCGGATCCGCGCTTCAGCATGACTCAGCATTAACAGTTATGAGGTGCCCGGGATGGATTGAGACAATATCACGATAGCCGTAGTTTAGGGTGAGGAAATGGCAAAAAACTGCCCGACTGGATTATTCATCGAGGAAATGCCAAATTGAAATCCTTACCTCCAAATTTTCTAAGAATTTGTATTGAAATCAGACAAAGTGGGTCCCAGGGAGAGGAAAAAGTAAACAATAAGATCACTATTTCACAACTTAGAGAAGTTAATTCTGTATCATGATGTCCGTAATACA